ACTGATCATCGACCCCCCCCCCCCCATCAGCTCCCCTATTTCAAGACTTCTAGATACGCCACTGATTTAGCAATACTTAAAAACGTGATTAAGCTGATACAAAATTTAACCGATTTCTTGAAATTTTGTGCGCACTTTTTTTATTTCATAACTTTTGAATGTAGTCAAGATGTTTAATAACTTGGACGATTGTCATAAAAGGACCGTACCGCTAAGCCCCGCCCCTTGGATATAGTTATTAAGGTCCTACAAAACACAATAACGTAACTGTACGTGAACACGTGCGTTTGTTGGACACGCGTCTCCTGACATAAAATTGGCTTTTGATAAGTGTGTATGCAGACGAAATCTTCTAGATTACTCGCTAAATATTTACGTGTTTCCGAAAGTTATTTCATAGCTATTAGGCCTATGTTTTGGTAAAATTATTTTTTGAAAATATCTCTTACCTTCAGCATCAATTTTTTCAACCTGAAATAAATATGATAAACCCAAATGAAGCGATCAATTTGTGTGGACACTACTACAGTAATTCCTATACGCCTTATATTTTAACAAAATAATTATAATATGCAATATACAAGATCACTTTGTAACAAATAATAATAATAATAATAATAATAAAAATAATGGGTAGATTTATAAAGCGCAAATAAACAATAAGTAGCTTAATTCTAGGCAAATAACATAATATGCCTTTACAACGAAAAAGATATGTTGTTTCCATAAAGGGCTTATTAAAGACAAAATATTGTGGAATTTAAAAAGCTGAAAACAGCAAAAGAACGAAAGCCCATAAAGTACCGTACAGTAATAACACTTACCGAGAACACTGCATTGATAACAATCATGCTGGCTAACAGGACGAAAACTGCCTTGGACACCATTTTAAAATTATGGACTTTGTTAAAACAAGTTGTTAAAAGAAGGTTTTGCTGACGAGCTTTTACAGCTTGCAGTTAAATACTTCTTACAGCTCAGACGATGAAAGGTGTACTTTACCTGTTCTACTGATGACCAATTTTTCAGACCACTAGCTTTATATAGACACCCATGTTTTCGAAATTTAACGCTAAAGTATACATTATCACGAAAAGTCAAGGCATACAGGTACTTAGGAGTGTTTATGCAATTTGTAGCAATAGAAACCGTATCGATGATTTCAAAGGGCATCACCTTTTGGAACATCAAACATTTATAGAAACATAAAAGTAAAACACAGCGATGAGACCATTTTATATAATATATATATATCATTATGATCATGGATCAAACGGGCAAAGTTAATTACAGCATAAAAGTTCTTATTTCACGATATGCAGTATTTTACATCATAAGTACACTTTTAAGAGTCTGAGTCTAATAATCATTCATGTTTAGGCCCAATAACATTTTGTTCTGCATCTTATAATGGTCGGTGCACAAGACTAATCGATCAATATTGATAGATGCCTTTTGAAAACTCACTCTTGTGCGTTTAATGTACTAACACGTGATTATATCATAAGACAGGTAGAGCTCAAAGATACACAAAATGTGCAACGCGTTACTGGTACGAAGGACAGTGAGATGATACAACTGATATAAAAATATAACACGGGCCTACAATTGTAGATCGCTAACTATTGCAGGACCTTATAAACTTTAAAGAAATTCAAATTAAACTAAAAGTTTAACAAGGTAAAAATCTTCAGTTGACGAAATTCTGGTTATTGCTATGGTAAAGATAATCTCGCTATTCATTTAGCACATCGTACTAAGCCTCGGCATTGGCCATTTTCCTTCCAAGCCGCCTCTTTCCTCCCCAGGGTAGTGAACCGGGTATTGCTATGATATAATCCTATTTGAAAATTAAACATATTACTGTATGTTCAATAATAGGGGCATACTAAGCAAATATAGCACGCTTATTTTCCGACTTTCGAAGTGCTACACACATCGCGGCTGGTCGTTCGTGGGCGAAACAAATTTGAAAATGTAAATACAGTAGTTATAGTTTGCATTGTTAATAATTTAAACGAACAAAAAAAAAAAAAAAAAAATGTGTATAAAAAAAAAAAAAAGCACACAAACACACCATGACATTTATCATCACAGCACACTTTGGATTTATTAAGCAATGAATATTCCCATAAACATGTGTAAGATACACTATAAATTAAGCATTACAACCACGAAACAAACATTTCCATTGACAGACTATTAAATCTGAAAATGAGAAAAAATGAGGTAATAAAGCAAATATTTCTGTAATTAATAATACAGACATTGGTTTCTTTTCTTTGGTTACAAACTGTAAGCAAAATATCTTATATTCATAAATTCATTATTATGAAGTTATATGATAATAAAAATAATGATAGTAATGATAGACGAATAATAGTAATGTTGTATTTCCGCTAAGAACCGCCCCTTGGATATTGTTCCTAAGGTCCCATAACAATGACAGCATCAACAAACATAAACACACACGCTTGTATGATGTGTACGATTCTTAGCCCTGTTTTGATTGGTCAGTTGTTAAGTTTTATTGAGACTCCGGAAAGACCCACAATAATACTGAACTGGACTCATTTTAGTTTTATGTAGCACTACACAATGTTGTTTCTTGCTTTTCAGTGTTGTTTTCTGGAACTGTAATATATTTAATTCCAAATAACTAAAAAAAAATGATCTTCTATGGAATTAAAGTCTAAAATTATACAATTATAGCTTGAAGGCCTGTTTATACTTGCAATGATAATGATAAAAAGCTAAAAAGCAATTGTTTATATAGAAATAAAAGAAATAAGAGAAGCTTTTAAACCAGGACGATTCGATAACGATTTATCGTGTATTTGTAAACAAAATATTTTGACAAATCAATTCAAATGACGTCATAATCATGGAAAAACAATAAAATCGTAGTAGTAACGATTTCATCATTTTTCCATGATTGCAAGTATAAACAGGCCTTTAGGCTGTAATCTAATCCAAATGCTGTAGGCCTACTCAGTAGTTATAAATCTGTACTCAATCATAAGGCCGCATTCATAAGGCTGTCCTCAACTTTTAAGACTCAACTCAATCGAAAAGGCTGCATTTAATTAATTATAAAGACTAATCAATTGTACTTCTATTGTAAAGCTGTACACAATTGTAAGACCCAACTCAATTATAAACCTGTACTCCATCATTAAGCTGTAGCCAATTGACTATCATTACTACACACAGAAAATATACATTTTATTTACACAGACTACTCAATTGTTACATCTATGTTGAGATGAAATATTTTTGTTCTTTGGTGATGTAGCTATCGAATACTGACACTATTTACGTAGTCGTATTGTTGTTAATGTGCTTTTTGAACTGCTTCACTTGCTTCTAGGCACAGGTTATCAAGTTCCCCATCACCACCTTAAAACACAAAGAATCATTGAGATTGTTAGATGATATAAGTTAAACAACCGGAGTTTATTTGACATATGTCAACAAATAGTGATTATACCCTGCTACGAATATATTTTACTTAATATGCCAAATAAGCATGTTGACTTCATATGTCAATTTTCAACAACAATTATTATAATGACAATAAAAACAATATATACAAAAAACATGATTGCTAGTAAAAGGTATAAGAATATCTGTACTGCATACACATAATTACCTACTGAAAATAGTGAATAGGAAAGGTGCAAAGAGGGAGAATTAAAGAAAGCGTATTGCTTTCGTGGATGACTTGAAAGAGGGTAACAACTGTGAAATGTTAAAGAGAAGAGCACAAAACCAAAATCTCTGGAGAAACTTGTTGCATGAGGATCTGCCAGCAAGAGGCTGAGCACCATAAGTAAGCAAAAAATTTAAAACAAATAAAAATTTAACATAATTGTATAATTAAAGGACTGTTACCAGTTAACTGTTTTAAGTCGTTGGTAATTCCCATGTCAATAATAAATTGTTATTTTCAAAAACAAAAGAGCATCGTAGCAAAGTTACAACATAGTAATGTATTCTATATCAAGGGATTAGAAAGTGGTACATTCCTCAGGGATAATGACACACAGTAAGTAGATATGTGTAAAGGTGAGTATAGAACAGTTTTGGGTCTGACATGTCTGACAGGGAAGTCTGAACCTATGGGATGCTGACTAACAACCTTGGTCATCGTCCCCAAAATAAAAATTCCTAGTAGGAATCTTGGGAAGTGTTTTTATGGCTTAGTATGACCCAAATTGTAATTTTAGACCGTAATATATTGGATTGGCAATGTAAATTACGTTATTTGGAAAGGTAAATTTCTTATTTTTAATCCCACAACAATATCTTCCTGCTGGCACCCCCACTGAGCATTAAAATGACAGCATTCAACAGTATCAATTGTACTCACATTAAATACATACCATAATCTAGGTCGTTGATATCACATTTGTAAACCATTTCGCCATTAACCATCAGCTCAACTGTGTTCCAATCCTCATGCTTAGTCAGCTCTACTGTGTGGCCATGTTTGGTTAAGAAGGCTATAGAAAAAAATCCAATTCTATGCATGTGTATAAAATAAATGATGTAAGCCTAGGGCCCCCAGTCTAGGCGGGCCTAGGCCTACATTTATTCATACCTAGGGGCCTAGGCCTACATTTATTCATGTTTAATATGAGGCCTACAAAACCTTTGGAAGACAGCAATATGTTCTCCATTTGCTATTTCCAGATACCAACTTAAATAAAATTTAGCATAGTGCATTATATTTGTAAGTAAGCCAGGTCTAGTAGTATTACTTTACTGGCTAGGCCTAGGCCCCTAGCCTAGCGCAGTAGAGTATTACGCAACTCAGCCAGGCAAACGAAAGCAAGCCAACAGCTCAGTCCCCACACCACCACCACTACTCGGCCAGTCCTTTTTAGTTTTCTTACCTTGAAGGCCATCTAACCTAGACGTCCGGTAATCAACCACTCCGCACGCTCTGTATGGTCCATATCTTACAATCACTTTTGCGTTTTTTGGCATTTAATTAAGATTTTGCAGAGTTTGAAACAACGTGTAATGTTTGTAAACAATAATTGTGAAAATTAGCGTCGTGTTGTCAGGGGAGTTTTTTGTACGGAAGCTAACGCCCTCTACGGTAGAAATGACACGCATGATCGACCTCCAAATCAAAACATGGCTTTAGCTGGGAAGATATTGTTTCGGAATTCTGTATTTTTAAAGCCGTTGTTTAGAATTCATCCACGGTCTGTCTAAACTATGATTCCATTATCATGATTGTATTATATTAATAATGCCATTTTCGTTATCTTTAGTGGTCGCTAATTTTTGTTTAGCATGTCCTAGCCTAGGCCTAGTCATTCATTGAATGGGTCAATCAAAATTAGACGATTTGGCCGCGATCGGGCCCAGCTGGATGGATGGTGATGCTTAAGTTAAGCCACCTATAAGCTAGGCTAGCCTAGATCTGGGTACCGTTGTTTGTGAGTTTGTGGTAGAAATACGGTGCTAACACTATCTGTACATTGGTATCTCTTGATATAACCTAACAACATGACATTGAATCTTTAAAACAATATCTTCTTCTTGTGTTCTGTTTTTTTTGTCTTTAAATATTAACAAATTAATTTTCTAACTTCTCAAGATGCAGCAACAGTGCCAATTTTTCCAGCTGTTCATTCAGACAAGCGATTACATTGTCAACCAGACAAGAAAATCATAAACCATTTTTAGGCATTGACTCGTTTAATTTTTCTCTAGGTGAGTTGAAGTTCAATTTCTACCATCATTTTACAATCCTCCCTACCTGCAGTACAGTATATGTAGTCAATTTACACCAGAAAGCCATCATTTAATGAGTTCAATGATAGCAAGTTCTTTATACAGTGTAATTACCCAGGCTTTACTTAAAAAAAAAAAAATTGTATTTAAATATCAAAAATGTATTTGATGTTTCATTTATTTCAAAAATTACTAATTTTCTAACTTTCCATTATTTAAGTGCGGTCAATGTTCATCCAGACCCAAGAAACACCAAATCCTAACAGCCTAAAGTTTGCACCGGGTGTTCCAGTCATGGAAGTGGGAACCAGAGATTTTCCCAATGCCTCATCCGCTTATGCATCACCATTAGCAAGGTAGTGCTTGTATTGTCATTCTCTTCAGCATCCTTCTACAGCAGGCTTGGAAAAAAAAATTGTGCCTCTGAGCATGAAAATTGTCTTGATAAAATGCCTCCAGAATCAAATTGTACACTATATATTTTTTTTTAAATTTTAGGCAACTTTTTCGATTAGAAGGCGTTTGTGGTGTATTTTTGGGACCTGATTTTATCACGGTCACAAGGACAGATGACGATGTGGAGTGGAAGGTCTTGAAACCTGAGATATATGCTGCTATCATGGACTTCTTTGCTTCTGGTGTTCCAGTAATAACAGAAGAAGAAGCTCCCCAAGATACAGGTATGGTATCAATTATTACAATATTTTTTAATGCACCATTCTTTACCCTTTGAACCCTGCATTATTTACATCTTGTGGCACCCTCACCCTGAGTTATTTAGACAAAATATGCTTATTTTTTATTACAATCATCACCACCACCTCCTAGGCCCTGTACCGCTGCCATAGCCATCCATCAACTATCATGACTACCACTACTGGCACTAGCACTATCGTGATCGGCCTAGCCTAGGGCTAGAAACTACACTGTTTATTTCACTTTCCAAATCACTTCCTGGATAATCGTCATCATCAATATATTCTTGGGAGTCATAAAGTATCAATCGTAAAGCATGTTGGCATTTATTGTCAAATTATTCAATATAAATTTGTTTTTTCAAAAAAATCAACACGTACGAGTCTGTCAGAACGACTTGGAAATGATGATGTCACAAAATTACGTCATATTACTCATACTAGTCAGGTGATTACCCCGAATAACGTCACCTGACCTGCTAAGCCGGTATACCGGCCTTTAGGGTTATAGCAGCGTAAGCGCGCAGCTGTTTTTCCGGCCTTTCGGGTTCAAAGGGTTAAGGAAGCTTTCTGTGTTACAAGATTTAAATACAGTAATACTGTTTCTACATGTAACTTTAATGATACAATGTGATTTCAAGTAATTTGTTTTCACTTTATTTTAATAATGAAGATATTTGCCTTTCAACTGAATTCAATTTTTTGGCTGTTTTTTTTAAGTGTTGCTTTTTAACCTTTTATGGTAATTTTCGTAATACTTTTTATGAATCCTCTGTACAGCAGCTAAGTTAAAAATTTTAATGTATTTGATAACTGAATATTTAAATTTTAATTGTACAGTATAATCAAAATTTATGGTAATATTTTATATAAATTTTATGTACACAATATTTGTATTTTATTTTGTTGGATGGGGGGTTGGGGAGCCACATTGAAAGTGATTTATTTTGCAATTAGCAATTTTTAATTGTCTGGCTTTGTGTTTTGTGTTTTGAATATTATATTGAAATGATTTTGCTTATAATACATTCCAAGCAACAGTTATTTTGTATCAATTAGTGTCAGTAAATGGTGTAATGTCTTACTAGATTGGCTTTGAAAAACTTATTTGTGGTGAATATCAATAAAAAAATTTCTGATAAAGGATAAGTATTGATAATATTCTTTTCTCCTATGTAGTTGTCAATGAAGATGATGATGAAGTGGTTGCTATGATCAAAGAGTTGTTAGATACAAGAATTCGTCCGACAGTTCAAGAAGATGGTGGGGATATCATATATATGGTATTCTACTTGACAAAAAAATCCATTTATAAAAACGTTTAATTTTAATTTATATTGATGACTTGTTTCTACTAAATTATTACAAAAAACACAATTTTTGTCTTGTGCAGTCTGAATTAAAACATGTGTTGTTACTCAATTTACCTTTTAAACAGCGGATTTATGGCAAGTATGATAAATCCTAAAACAAAAATTGTTTGTTTGCTCTCCTCACCCGCCCCTAACTCACCGAAAAAAATAGGGGCAGCAAAACCAAAAAACTAAAAAAAAAGTTAGGTTTTTTTTAGCTTTTTGTGAATTGATCTTTATTTTTAGCCAGATGTCTTACAAAGTTGTCTAAAGTTGTTGTCTAATGTAAGATATTGCCATTCTAGCTTACATTCAATGCAAATTGTCAACTGGGTTATTTTTATTCTATCTGATGAGTAATATTGAAAAAAAATAAAAAATAAAAAAACTTTTTCCACCCGCCCTTTTTTATCACTTTAAAAAAAGGAGGGCAAGCAAACAATTAATTTTTTTAGGGCTAATATGTTACTCAGAGTATTTTAAAATCATTTTTTTTACTGGTCCAATTTCTACTGCTACATTTGATTTTGAAAATTGAAAGAAAAGCCAACGATAAAAAGACTTGCGCTGGGCACTCGCTGCAGCAAACAACGGTCGTACAACAAATCCAAATGCACTCCATGTGAGCACTAGTAGGTGGCAGCCTAATCTGAACATCATTGAAAACGATTTGTTACGTGCACGTTGTGGTGTTGCATTCTCCATAGAATTGCGTCGGGTGACAACTGTCGGGCATTGCAAGTGCCAGCCTTTATAGTCTGTTTATATCAAAGATCTTATAAACACAAGATAGCGTTCTCCGCGATTTACGCGTAACAAATAGAAGCGTCGGTCAAGGTTCAAAAGTTTCCAATTTAGCAAGAGGGCGCCATTCATATGCTATTATACCAAAGAGAAAAAGTAATCAGTTTTGGAAGAGGGCGTCCTATCTGTTGCCATGGATCTGAGATGGTTCCTGTTCTGCTGTTCACAGGATTGACACCCTAAAGGTAAAGTCGCGCGGTCAGAGCGGTCAAGGGTCAAAAGTTTCCAATTTAGCAAGAGGGTGCCATTCATGCCTTATTACAGAATTTGCACGCATAAATCGCGGAGAACGCTATCTTGTGTTTATAAGATCTTTGGTTTTTATGTACAGACATATAGTAGTAACTTTTGTTTCTGTTAGGTTTGTTTTTGTTATTCTACATTCTGAGTCTGTTACTATACGTGCTATTTCAATTTATAATATCATTTTAGGGTTTCGACAATGGAGTAGTGAAGCTAAAGCTGCAGGGAGCCTGCACAAGTTGTCCTAGCTCAGTTGTCACTTTAAAAGGTGGCGTTGAGAATATGCTGCAATTCTACATCCCAGAAGTAACAGCAGTTGAACAGGTACGTAAGAAATCTTGGAAGAGCCTAAAATCTATGAAAATCTACCGCATAATGAACTAAACTGCTTGTAAGCACAACGTATAACTTCCATTTGTGGAAGGCAATATTATTCTAGCACATATTTATTGCTTGTTTTCGGTTGTTTGAAAGATTGCCAATGTACATTTTAACAATATTTAAGAGTTTGCCAATTAATCTTTTTTTTTTAAATTTTTTTAAGGTTGAAGATGAATCAGATGAGGCATCAAAAGAAGCATTCAAAAAATTGGAAGAAAAACTGGGAGAAACATAATCTACGATCACAGTGCAATGGTTACCTCGTACCCAAAACATGGTCCATAGTAAGCATTGCATTATAATCTATGACCACAATGCAATGCTTACCTTATACCCTAGACATGGTCCATAGTAAGCATTGCATTGTAATCTATGACCACAATACAATGCTTACCCCTTACCCATAATCTGTATCATTAAAATGGAATAGTGTATCTATCATATCTGATAGGTTGACCTGTACCTTACCTATACATTAAGCAATAAATTCATTATACAGTATATGTTTGTGGTACATAATATGATATCTTTATTTCCTCCAAATTTTCTAAATCATACAAAAAAGAAATAGGAGGGGTCAGAACAGAGGAACAAGTCTATACTCAAAGGTTTTGTCTGCTCAGTCATAAGTGACTCTAAAATTATTAGTAAATGCTTACTATGGCATTAGCATTCAAAGAGGAAGTGCAAAGATGTCTATTACTGCACTCTATTAATATTAACAGAATGGATTAAAAATGTTTGGATTTTCATAACACTGTAGTGTGTCCTCATTACTATGGGTTTGAACAATTATATGGATGCCATCTGTATAGAATTATATGCTTTGAATTAGGTTTATATTGTATAAATAATAATTTGTATTATGTTTTATTCATATCTGAAGCGCCAGTATCCTATATTTAATAACTTAAGTAAAGGTAGTAAAAGTTTTTTAAAAATCTGGTGAAGATGATGAATGAAATTTTAATGAAATAAAACATTTTAGTGAATTAGTTTTTTTGGGGGGGGGGGGGGGGTTGTTGTGTTTTGGCATGGTAGGATTATTACCAGTGTTTTACAGTACTGTACCACTAAATGCCATGTTATTTGCCATGTCAACAATACTCTGGTGTTTTTCTAAGTACAATATGTTGTGTGCATTTAATGTATTTGGTCATGCAGAATTTCTGTTGTTACTGGTTGTATTATTATGTTAATGTAAATATATAAACACGATGAAATACATAGAAAAATTCTCAACATTGCATGAAATATTGACATTAAAATTTCGAATACCTTCAAAAGCCTTAAATTTTGTTAGCCTTGCTTTCAATTTTGGGCAACCTTTGTATAAAATGTTAATTAATTCTGTAAAAGCATAAGTGGGCATAGTGCAGCCCGTGGGCATATTGCAGGCTGTGAAATTGACTTAAAAAACTCTATGTGTGTGGCCTGCCAACCATCTTTGGCTAGAAAAGACCTTGTTTTTTATGGCCCAACACCGATCATCTTTAAAAAGTAATATTAAAACTGAGCATGAAGTGGTATAAAAGCAGTGCATGGTTTTTGAAAGGTGCATCAGAATCATCAAAGTTTGGTTGTTAAATCAAAAATTCACTTTGGCCTTTCCGGCCAATTTTTATGCCCACCAATGCTGCAAGGTATATTAGTTTTGGTGATCATACCTAATCAAATTTAAATGCTAAAAATGCCAATGAAGTATTGACTTCTTGTCACATCAACATTTACGCGTGTGGACTCAATGACCAGAAATAAAACAAGTACTTTGCAACTACTCATCAACAATTAATAATTTAAAAGAATGTTAGATTAAGCACATAAAATATGCAGTTAGTATTCATAAATTCATGTATCTGCATATACAGTATACAGTACCACACTGTCATTTTAGAAAATCATTTTGGGCATAACCATATTCATTTCTACAAAAATAATATATACTCAAATTCTAAAATTATGTAATCGTTTGTGTCACACACCATCTGTTGTGTAAATATTTTGCTTATGAACAAGTAGGCAAGCAATTTGTTGCTTCGCTGATATTTTCATTGGTGCGGTAAATAGTTAATAGAAGAAATCTTGTTATAATGTAATTTTGCAATTGGTGGCTTAAGGACAATCATTGCATGTTCTTGTTATAATGCAATTTTTGGAGTATGTATTATACTTTCTTATCCGAGATTAATCAGTGGACCTTTCGGGTTCTTTAAAGTGCACACGAAATGTGTACACTGGGCCTACGGTTTAAAGTCCTTATCCGAGAAAACTTGTTCCACCACCGGAACCATTGGCGAGTGAGCCGTTCGAACCAACGCCGATATTAGAGCTGAAGGTCACGGTGCCCCTGACTTAACCGCTCGGCCAATCAACTCGCCCACCCCCTTGGTACACAAAATTGGACCGATTTTAAGAGATGGACTTATACCCACAGACCCCCTTTCAATCAAAAGACCGCTGATCCAGACTTTAGCACCGTTCGCCATGGCGAAAGGTCAGGATGAGAGATAATTTAAATGAAAAACATAAAAGTGATTGCAACTTGATGAATAACAATATTATTAAAAAGGGACTAATTTATCAGCAGCAGTCTACGACTAGCAGGGGAGTTATGGCAGGTCAGGTACCCATCTGACCAAGAAGCCTATTGTAGGCTACTGAGGTAAATAGGTTATTTTTTTTTTAGAATTACTTTAGAAATAGTAGAATAATAATTTATCATCTTTTTCTAAAAAAATTTTTTTTATTTTTTTTGTAAATAGCAGTGTTCTTACAAAGGCGGATATGCCGGTGTCACATTGAAATCTTTTTTTCTAACCCCATGCACAAAAGCGGCACGTACGGTGACAATTATCAATGTAGTTTAATCTTATACCAAAGTGAACAATACCAATTTTATATTTTTAGTGGTAGGGTTGGAGAACCTGGGGTGCAAGTTTTTTTTTTTCCAAGCTATGCATTCTCTCATTTTTACAAAAATCTTAATAATAACTGATATTGGAAAAACCAAGGCTAATAATAGGCCTATTAGGAAGACTTGTATAGCATATAAAATAGAATGGGTGGAACTGGCCATCAGGTACTAGTAATTCTGGTCACTGATTATGACACCACACCTATTAATCTAAATGTTTGAAGCTCAAATGTATGTCGCAATTAAAAAGTAATAGCTGTAGAACTGTTTTATCGATAATAAACCAAGCACAATGGATATGAACGCACTGCAGAAGATGAAACCACAGACCCTGAATGCTGAACACTTTGACTCTGTATAATATGACTATATATATATATATATATATATATATATATATATATATACACACACATATAAATTGTCTTCAGTGTTTCTTTTGACAACTCTAATCATATTCTACATGCATGTGTTCATATGTATACTTTAGCTGGTACTTTTGATCAGTGCACAATCATTACCACATGATTCACTAAATGTGGTGTACAATATAACAGACCCAGTGAAAAAAACCATCAAAAGCTGTGACAATCAAAAAGAAAAAAAAACCACATTAACGTAACAGTGTTTAAAGCTTAAAGGGATATTTTTATTCTTTGCCAAGTACATCAGCCAATATAGTACATGTTAAAACTTGTAAACCTATGTACATTATCACAGAATCTATATGAGATCAAATTTACAGGGTTTTTATATTATCTACAAACTTATCACATGATTGACTCATTTTAATATAGAGTATTTAAATTACCAATGATTGTTATGTGATTAAAACCTTACATAATTTTATTTATTTATTATATATACTAATATATACGAATGATTCATTATTCTCTTTTTAGCAATAATGATGAAGGCATGTAGAACTACATCTGAAATATTTAACATCTTAAAAATATACAGTATACCCAATGTAGCGATACAAGCAGAAAACCAATTAAAAATGTTTAAAACGTCTACCATTTTTACTAGTTATTTAAGCCTGTATCATAAGAAAAAACATCAATATTATCTAAATCATTTAACATAAAGTATGAAAATCAATGCAATTCAGTTAAAATATACACAATGGCAAGTTGGTTTAGATAAAATAATTATCAGATATAAACATAGCCAAAACATAAAAAAAAATGGTTTACTGTGTTCATTCCCGGAAGACAGGCATACGGACGGCACCATAACATTTTTTTACACCACATTTTTGTGATGATTAGTAAGGGAAATCTCTAACACTAAATTTAAAAGGCAAATTAAAGTTACAGTAAGTAAAATATACACTTTGTTATATTTAAGAAATGTTTAACAAATATTATTTTGAGAATATTTTTAAATAATTATATTAAACTTGGTATGGAGGAACAACTCCATCATCAGTAATGGATAGAAATATTGTTCCTATCCTTTTCCGATTATTGCTCACCAAGGACAAAAATGATGCACAAAAAACGATAATGTAAATGGCGATATAATCCAGATGAGGTTTCTCCAATTTCTACATATATATGTAAATATTATATTGCGTGATAATAGTGTGAATAATGATTAGAAAACATTAGTCAAAAAAAAAAATAATGACTGGTATTAGATGCAATTTAGTCAAGTTTGTTAGCTGGGGAAACATTTTAAACCAGCAGTGGGAGTATGATCATTAAATACACTCCCCAGGCTAAGTTGCATCTGAAATGCACTTTTATCAAATTCTAACTAATGAGGGGCCAGCACAACAGAGGTGGCTTTTACATTTTAGCAGTGATTTATGTCTAATGGTTTAACAACATTAGAATGACTTAATGGGGCATTGTTATATAGTATTTTCAGTATTAAACTTGCCATTTTAACCCAGTGCTCTAACATATAAAAATCAAAGGCTAACGAAAATGGTTGTTTGTTTTGAAGATACCGCATCTAAACACACTTGTGAAGGCCATGTGGGTAATTCAGATATATTTCAGTATTCCTAACACATCGTTATGGACTTAACCCACTCAAGTAAAACCTAAAGCTGGCGACCCTGTATTATATAGCTTTTGATAACGAGTGTGAAATGGATAGGGGAAAAATAGTGCAAACAAAAATATCTCCAAAGTATCAAAATATACAAAACTTACCACAATGTTTTGACAACTTCTTAGGTAATAACATTTCAGCAATAATAATAATAATAATAGTAATAATAATAATAATAATAAGGGTTGACTTATAGAGCGCATATTGTGGAGACCTCTATGCACTTATTCATATGGAACACATTCTCCGGCTGATACAATAATGCTAGCTTTGTAATTCCAGAGGCTTGGGTTCAAATCCTTACAGACCCATTTCCTAGAAGTCTGAACTGACCATTAGCGATCATGGATTGTAATGTATCATTGTGTTCTTTTCTCCTTCATTCTATTTTTTGCATTGTTTTTACACACTGACCGCCAAGCCTTGCCAAGGCATAAAGGGCTCCACCATAATGAAAATTATTCCCATCAACTGTAATGAAATATGAACAAACACATGGTATTTTTTGGAAGTGGTTTGGCACAGCAGGAACTGTTTGGTTTGCCAACCTCGAGGTCAGGGTTTCAATCCCTCGCTGTGCATTTCACTTGTGTCCTTGAGCAAGGCACTTTATCTGCATTGCTTCTCTCCACCCAGGAGTATAAGTGGGTACGTGATAGGGTTAAATGCCAAAATGCGCTGATGTAGCTGCTGCAACATTATAGAATACGCCACAGGGAGCTTAAGTTGGTGTTCCGTAGGCACTTAATCTAAAGACTGGGGTAATGATATTAGAAATGCAAAAAGGGCTTAACAATATGCGCTATATAAGTCTACCATTACTATTATTTATTTTTAGATGGTTACCTCCTGGTTTTTCCCTGAACCCCCCGGGGCGAGATTTCACGTTCTGACGACCACTGCTAGTGAGTTAATGTGCAATACCATAGAGGATGTGAACTTGTGCATTATATATTTTGTTAACCCGTCATAAACTTTAAAATATTGATGTTTTTAAAAGGATTAAATTTATATCTGTTACTGGTATTATGAGAATAGAATAAAACAATCCTATTTATGTATGTACATGTTTATAACCAGTCAACATGCAGAATTAGCAGAAAGATTTTAAATTATTAAAATTATCAAAATCATATCAAGTGAAATTTTATAATCATTCAAGTATTGCAGCTTGATTATTTAAATACAAGGTGAGGTTTTGGATTAAGAATAGTAAACTACATAGATATTTATTTGTTTGAAAAATTATACTTAATTATTATTTATATATTTACTTCATTAAAAAAAGCAATGGAAGGTTCCACAAAAAGTGTAGGAAGGTAGATTTAGCAAGACTCCATATTTAAAATGCAAGATATCTTTGAGGGAAAAATGATTTTATAACACATTGAAAAGTACACTAATACTAATTTGGGAGATAACACTATGTATACAAATTCAAGAATGCTAAGCAAGATGCTAAGAAAAATTTTTTGACTTTCCCATATATATAGGCATGATGATGTTATATCACATCCATATATGGACATAGCTCATGTCAACCCATGTATGGGCATGACAATGTCATATCACACCCATATATGGGCAAATCACAGAGCCTAATAACTGCACAATGGAGAATCGACTGGACCAGCAACACAGCAAATGTTTGATGCACACACTTCGTATGCTTATTAGAAATACAGTTGTGCATTCAGAACAGAAATTTTGAATGCGAATAAATTCCCGTAAAGCTTCTATTTTTAGGAATGATCGCACTGGCGATGGCAATATAGCATTTATCATACATTACAGGAATTGAACAAATTATAATTTAGTCATTATTTCCATCATTATTGTTGTAGAAACACCAGGCATGCTGACGATGAGAGTAACATTAAAGTCAAGATTGTGAATATCTGAATGTAAATTAGACTACAAATCCAATCAAAATAATGGGGATGGTCATTTTTCGTAGTTGCATTCATCAGGTTAATGATTTCAGAGTCTCCAATGCAGCCTTGTAACAGAATATATACTGGTCCTGTTGAAAAAAAAAAAATGCATTTCATGATTTTGTGTTTATGACATGACTGGACAACAATGAATAAATCAAATCGCCAGGCCAATGAACCCATTTTCCTACACTGAAGATTGCTAATGCGTGCTTAGTGTTATGAGCACAATATAGTAGTTTAAAAAGTAATGCAACTAGTTTTCTTACTTTAGTTTGAATCATCCCATGCCGTTGCCTTCTCAGCTCCTTCACAATGTCATAAATCTTGAACTGCAAAAAAGCAAAGGAAACAAAGTTTAGGTCTTTTTTAAAGCATATTCAAACTTTTTCAACACGGCAATTTTATATGGACCATTCCCCTTAGTCCCGCCCCTTTAAAAAAAATTTCTTTTCTAAGGTCTTTTTCAAAATGACAGCCATAACTTACAATTGTAAGCTTGTGGTTTTGTGAGACAAGGGTAAATTCCTAGGCAAGTTGCTTGGCCGAGCCATTAAGACAGGCGGACCGTGACACACAGGCAAAATATCGGCGTTGGTTCGAACGGTACGCTTGCCTATGGTTCCAGTGGTGGAACTTGTGTGCACATTAAAGAACCCAATACATTCTTCGAGAGGAGTAGGGGGTTACCCTAGTGTACTGGTCCATTTCAGCTCCCTGTCCGGCCACAGAAGGAGCATTTACGTCGCGGCCCATGTCTCCATGTATCCTACCTGCGAATCCTACACCATACGTAAGGACGGTCATACACAATAGTGACTCGAGAAGAAAAACACATTCCTAGCCCTGCCTATTGAATAGCACGTTGTGATTAGTCAGTTGTTACTGACAATCTGGACAAGTCCACTGTATCTTACATATAAGCTACCTGATTATCAATTATGTCTTCCTTCTACACTAAGAAGGCCTAAAACAAAATAATGATGTGACAAAACACAATAACCACAAGGCCGTGAATATTGTTAAGCCAGTCTTACACAAATTCATAATCCTGATTGTATGTTACTGTCCTAATCCACTTCATGTGTACAATAATATTCAATCAGAATTAGGAGTTAAATTTAAGAATAATATTCAATCAGAATTAGGAGTTCATTTAAGACCAGTGTAACAATAGCCACTGCCTAAATACAAACCTGTTCATTCTGGTCAACAAGATTCATCATCGTATCTATGGTGATAAGGGTTCCTGTGCGACCAATCCCTGCACTGCAGTGAACGACAATTGGTCCCGATTGGTGGATTCTTCGCATATACTTGATGTAGCGGAGTAGATGGATGGAGGTTGTGGGTACCCCATGATCAGGCCAGGTTGTGAAGTTTAAATGAGAGACATGTTGGATCTCACTGGTCTACGAATAATAATATAATATTAAACAAGTAAATAAACCTAACATGAAAATGTGATGGCCCAACAATGCAACCGCTTAGAATCAATGTACTATATGATCTTCTACTTCATCATCAACCAACTTCATTGTTGTCCATCATTAGTCATCATCATCAACATCATCATCATCTTCAAAATCAATATCAAAATTATTATCATCATTATCCTCTGATGGGAATCAAACCCTTCATATGTAGATATACGTATTTAAATATTAACTTATTTGCATATTTTAACATCACTTTGTACTGTCATTGTTAGTTGTCATCCACATAATCATAATTACTGTCTTCAAAATCAACATGTAAATGTTTATCATCATTACCCTTATCCTCATCAACATTACTCTAGTATATAACCATCATAATCATTAAACAGATAACAGATTTGTTAACATACTGTACCTTCAAGTTTGTGATGGTCATCCTACGAATATCGAAGTTCTCAAGCGTCTGCAAGCTGTCCAATCGAATTTCAAAACGATCCGTGACCACCACAGGCGAGTCTGTTGAGCTGGGCCAATAACGATGACACTTCACCTGGGCATAAGTACAATACTTATTACTCGGAAATATAGTTAATACATATTATAATTCAATACAGTAATTTAGAAGCTTGAAAGTTCATTAGGAAGTGCTTGATATTGTAATTACTTCGTGGCGGATTCAGGGGGGAGGGCGGCAAGTTTGCTTCCCCACCCCACCAACTAGATTTTTTAAAATGGAGAATGGAGAAAAAAAGAAAATCATATTCAAATTTAAGTCTGAGAGTGCCATTTCCAGCCATCTAAAGGTGCCATAATGGTGGGGCTGCGGTTCTCTAGACCTTCCATTAGTGGAAGTCCTTCCCTGGGCCCCTTCTATTTCTAATTCCTGAATCCGCCACTGTTACTGACTGACTAAAGCAACTTGCCTGCATAGATTAAGCATTGAATGTATGTGTCAACTGAATTAAACAAGCAGATAAAGTATGGTAATGACATTGATAAAAATCACCATAGAAACTTAATAGTATAATATATGTGTATTATATACAATATACATGTTATATACAAATATATTATATATACACATATATATTAACATTTATAATACTTATTTACATCACTTTGTACTGTCTCTAACCTTTCCATTTTCAATGTCCATAGTGACCATCGCAATAACGCTCACTTTCTGTTCCCAGATCATTTGCCAGAAGTCAACAAGACTATTGGGCAGCGGCCCCTGGCACGCAATGTACTGTAATTCATTTGTGCCGACTTTCATTTGAATGTGACTCGCATTTATGTAATCAGAACCGTCCCCATTCTGCAGAGTAACCCGCGTCTTATCGTCTGGACAGAGAAATAGAAAAAAGTGCACATCATATTAAGATTGGGTTGTTTAATTTGTTCAAGGCAACAAAGTAAATTCAACCAACCTATCAATCAGCAGACGAAAGTTTAGCCCACACTATCACATTTTCACAACAACTGTTGCATGCCCATATAAGGCAATATATGGTATGACCATATTTATAGGCATGTCACATGTTTTTGTCAAATAAATTTAATCTGATGAGATCTGGACCTGTCCAAACTATTCTATTTGATAAAAACATGACATGCCTAAATATGGTCATGATGACATCACATCATGACCATATATAGGCACATCATGACTATATATGGGCATACAACAGTTTTTTGTCAAAGAATATTTGAGTGGACAGAGCTTTATGGTAGCATTAATGGGCGTATTAGACTGGTTCATTTCATTTATTATGATTTTTCATTGAGTATTATTTTCATGCGACTACAAGTTTTCTATTCGAGTGTTTGTCTTCGTTAAGTAGGATTTTACCACTGTACAGGTGGGCATGGTTTAACAAAGAACGACTAGTCGATTAGGGCCAATCCGTTCTAACTTATTTGATTCAAGAAAATTAATGTTTAAGTAGAACATCTAATGACCTTTTCTACATTTTAACTCAGAGCATGTATTTTTTTTGAATACTACACAAGGCCCCATGATAATAATAGGAGATATTACGGCCAGCTGCTATGACCAAAAAAACATCACAGCGTCTCTGCTCAGACTGCATGTAGGCTACGGTTTGGTCGATTTAATTCTAGTCATCGTCACCCACATTCATCTATTTCGTACACTTACTAATGATTCCCATATGTTTATGTGTGATGGTAGCATTCATGGGACATTCTCATGAACTTGACTACATGCGAAATTTATGGTCAGTAATGAATGTACAACTGAAAAATAGGTCACAAGTAGATGGTGGAACCTATGATAAGAAACATGTGAATGTGGCATTTAAGCAAAGAGACTCGATTAGTGAAAACAGGGTTCAAACCCCTTGCTTTGCACTTTACTTGTGTACACTGATGGGATTAACACTGTGATGCGCATTTCAGTTTGCGTTTAGGACTGACGTATTGAGCTGAGTATTTGGCTGAGAGGTAAATTTGTCTGCTTCTTATGCTAAAGACCCCAGTTTAAATCTGGCTAGCATCAGGTTTTAATTACAGTCCTTCAGTAACTCTTACATCAGAGTTAGGCTGGATAATCAACAATGTATCTGTTACATGTTGGTACTGGTGCCGCATTATGACAGTCATGCGTCCCCAGAGGCCCAGCCAACATTTCTAATTTCAAATCTGGAATAGTGACAAAATAGTGATCAATCACAGACCACAACTAATTAATGAAAAACCACTCTTACATATCATGAATAAAATGTATTGACAAAAAAACTATGGTAACTTATATTGTCAAAAAAGTGAGTCAACGTATGGTATTAGCACTTACATGGTAACACATTTCTATAACGATTTTTGTCTTTGTTGACAGGTTTCTTAGCAACATCGCAGTTATCAATTGGTTTCAGTTGTCTTAATTGCTGGATAAAAGATAATATAGAAATGCAGTTAAAAATCAGCAAAATCATCAACAACTTTTTTTTTTAAATGAATTTAAATAATTCAAAATTTATGTAGTATGTTCTCCTTGTGGATGCCACACACTCAGAAAGTGTTCAGATAATTCATTGTTATTTTACTCTATTCCAAAAGGAAAACAAAATGTAACAGATGAATTTTGAGAAATTGCCCTTCAAACTCGGTAAAACCTTTACCTTTTTATACAACCTAGGCCTAGCTTTAGGCCTAGGATAGGGTTTTCTGTTGTCCGGCCTAGGCTTAGAATGGGTGTGTGTGTGCTACCACAAATAGAGAGATGATGAATACTTTCTTTTGCTGCTTCACCTACCTTGTATTCTTCCACAGGATCTTCTTTATCAATAGCTCTATTAAGGTTACTAAGCATCGTCTTTAACAACCGGCCAGAATAACGACTGCTACTACTTGGTTTTACTAACGACATTCGTTGTAGCTCTGTATCAGTGATTACACCCATGATCTTAATGGAAGGGGTTTCTCTCGGGGTGTGGTTGTTATTCTCTAGAGGTAATTCGGTGTCGCTGTTCCAGGATTCAGAATTTTCTGTGTCAGAAAGTTGACGTACCTGTACAACCTAAGAGACAAAACAATAAAAATACTAATTTCATTTCATTTATTTGTCTCAAAACATTAAAATTTACAAGAACACAAACAGCAAATACAAAAGAACATGAGAAAGGAATACCCCAAATGTATACTAAAAAGTGGGGCCCTTTGACAAAAAACAAATGCTTACAATATGGCCTCACTTTCTCTATTTGGAGTCATTTTTGTTTTATTTTATTTGAACAGTCAGTGCACCTTTTGGCTTATACTAAAAAATTTTGCTTAGACAAAACATCTGAAGTTAAATATTTTAAAAATCAGTAGTAATTAAAACAATCATTTTTTACAATGATTGAGAAATTAGTGAGTTATGATAATTTAATGGTAGTATTAATGATGTTACAAAAATATTAATGACTGATGATGATGACATAAATGACATTATGGATGATGTTCATACTAATGATGATGATGATGATAATGATGGTATTAATGATGATTGTAATAAAATATATTGCAAGTGATTTAAGTGGGAATTGAAACAATGACCTCCAGATAACTAGTCCAGTATCATAACCACTACAACCATAGACTAACGAGATTGCAGCCACTAGGGTTTGATTCATTTTACAAGTAACAGTGAGTTAAAATTACATTTGTGATATTGGTGTTCATGATGATAAAAAAAAAACTTAATATAAAGACAAAATGGTTAATTGTTTAATTACCTTTGATATGAGTTTACTTGCTTTGTTAATCGCTTCTCTTTCAACAGGTAAATCTGGGACTGAGTCAAGATCACTGTCAGTATTATGACCTATATAACAGCCACACAGTCAATCAGTTAACCAATCAATTAATCAAAGAATGAAATTAATTAAACTGAGATCAATTACCATTCAATCAATCAAGAATGAGATTGTAATTGATTAATCAATAAATCAATAAAAAATATGATTAATCAATGTGTCTAAAACAAGATCAATTCCACTATAGTTTTTCAACAAACCTATAACTTTGCTTTATAAAAAAGCATGCAGGTAAACATGACTAATAGTTCAATATGTTTTTATCTCAGTAATTATCAACAGATTTATGATACTGTGAATATACAATGCATTGTTTATAATGGCCAAAGGCCAACAACCACATAAATGTGGAATACAAACTCATGTACAATATGAATATAATGGCAAAATGGGGGTCACCTTTGCACATATATTAATAAAACGTATATATTTGTAGCTCTCTCCTTATGATCAATACATCAATATAACAGCTGGATGATGAGAGAGTAAGTGACTGTAAAGTTTTAATGATCATAAAAAACATAAAATTGCAATACTATTCATTATGAATTATTCAATTAGAGGCAATTAGTGGGTAATAGAAGCAGCAAGCAAAAACAAAATCATGCACAATTTCTCATCAAAAATGAGAACAATTAAACAATGACCCAGCATGCAGTTAGTGAATGGAAACATTGGCAATAAACAATTAAATGTTGCAAATAATGGTTAATTTTCCTAACACCTGTTAGTATTACTATGATACCAAAATAATTTCGAACATTTCTAATTGAATTATTAAAATAAGATTATTTTCAATCATTAATGATGATTGTTAAAAAGCTGCAATTTTCATTGCTCTATTTTACACATTATTTTATCCAAATAATTAAATATGTCTTAATGAATTGTTAAGATAAAATATATAGACTATTTCTAAACACTGTCAAATGATTAAAAATCTGCAATTGTTACTAATAAGATTTGCATATTATACTGTACTAATATTTGCATAATTAAGATCTTACTGATGCAAATGAGAAGATTAATAAAGCAAAATCTGTCTTGTTGCTGTGGATTATTAGCTAAAGCATGTTCTTGTGACTCAAATATGTACTATAAAAGACTGAAATATTAGATAATATAAATATTAATATACAGTGATTATCATGTTATATTATTTATAAATAAATTATATATAAATTATTATATTTATGAAATATGCTAGAGGCAAGGTTGTTAATCATTAATCGATTTAATTTGCTAAATTGTATAAGTTGAATATAAGCTTAGCTTTTAGCATCTAAGGGAGAAGGCAAATTTTTATGTTCATTTTTTGTTTGCATCATTCTAATTTGAAAATTCTGCAGCTACATTAACCAGTTACTTTACCTTCAAAATACTCATTATCAGCGAACTTCACCGGGGGTGGTGTGAATGGGTTAAATGTGGAGTCCATAGTGAGTGAAGGGGGCCCTGACAAAGCTGTGGCCGTGAGGGGTAAGGAGGAACACGAATCAAAATCGATGCTACCACTGTGCTCGACATCCGATAACACAGGGGCTATATGTGAGGAAAACATTCATAGAAAGAAAATATTAACACATCTAAACACAAAGCAAAATGCAAAAACAAATACAAAACAATATGCTTGAAAAATGTAATAAGTGAGGTTTGAATTGCACCATAATTACCAAGTCCTCAAACTTTAATAATTTTTAAACAATTTGATAAGTGTGATATGTTCACAAATATTAAAGTGGCATTGGTATATTTTAACTACTCGATTGTGATTTTTTTTTTTTTGCATAGCAAGTTTTTAGTTAACCCTTTCCAGTCTGCCCCATTACCTTTGCCTGAGGCTGTATTAAAGCTGGGAAATTACATCATCTACACTAAATGTCGGGTTTTTACTGGGTGCAGGCATTTTATTTGGTCTAAATACAGGAGGCCCTCCTACAGAAATACTCCTACATCACACTCAAAAAATCCTATAGAGGGCAGACTAGCTATAAATTAATTATCATGAAAGCTATACAGGGCGTACATATGACGCCCCTCGCTATAAAGTATGGTCGCAGAGGGCGTCGTCGCGACGCCTTACGACTGGAAAGGGTTAAAGGGTAGGCACACCACAACTTTATATTTATTGAATCTGTATCCGAAAACCAGAAATGACACATGAGTAACGAGACATTTATTGCACTCTAACAAAGTGGTACTAATAGAACGTGCAAGGAACAGCATCATGTGACTTGAATTAATCCAGAACAGTGATGTATACATGAGTCTTTTCATGAAGGGGAAAGGGATGATTGACAGGGGGCTACATATAATAAAGGGGATTTTACATTAATATTTACATGTAATTTTTCCTCAGCAAGTTCAGAAGAGGATTTTTTATGGGCTTGGTTCAAATCCCTAATAATTATTATTAAATATGCCACTAAACTAGAAGGACGATATGGGTATAGAATCAATCTTATCATAAGTAGTTAGGTATTTAGTTTAATGGAGACAAATTTTACTTATCAATTTTGGAAGGATGATTTGTTTATTACTACTAAAAATAGGTAAAAAAAAACACCTTGGGGACTAGTATGTTGCACTGTCAACAGATGACACTGCTTCAAGTAATTAACCCATTATCGTTTCAACGCAATGATTGATGAACATTTTGAAGAAAAGTACATGTAGGACGTATGTCAGCTAATAATGCGTCATTAATGAGAAATGCAACATTAAGTATTGCAACTAATGGTTCTTTTGTTGGTTTTTGTCATGTCTATTACAGTTTTTTAATGGAATGATACTTCTAAACAAATACATTGCTTTGTTGACCCACTTTAATATAACCTTCTTGCAGTTTATGATCGAGTAATTTACAAATCCCTTGTGACAAACTTAACTACATATAAAAAATAAATCAGGATTAATATTAAAATATATAGTCAGGCATTTATATTGTACTATTTCTATTTAAGCAACTTGAGCATTGTGTTAAAATGGATATGAGTGCTATATAAATCTTCTATATTTTTATTCTTGTACATCATGATGAAGCACCCCCTCTACAGTTGAGATATGCAAAAAAAATATGTCAATATTGCTAAAATTATTTAGACCGCTAATACGTAAAATCAAACTATTTAAGCATTTCATTGAAATTGATACGAGTGCTAAAATCTTATTTTCATATTTTTATTCTTTTAAATCATGATTAAGATATGTAAAAAAAATTGTCAATATTGGTAAACATTACTTAGATTGCAAATATGTGAAATTATATAAAGTGAGAGGACTTGCTATTGATGCTGTGACCACGTGAACAGTTCATGCACTGAATATTCCAATAATAACAAGACAAATGTTGCAATAAAAACAAATAATACATAGCTTGAAATCAGAATAACTCAGGGTTCACATATCAAAAATGGAATGAAGTTATTAACTTCCATGAGATCTTAAAACATTTCTAAAGCTCTAACCAGACTATCAAATTTTCTTTGACAAAAAAAACTGATATATGCCCATATACAGTCATGATGTGCCAATCCATATTTAGGCATGTCACATGTTTTTGTCAAATTAAAATTTGATATTCTGGACACAGGGCTTACATATGGCAATTATGAACAATTTAGCTGAAAACAACGCAACATGTTGTATTACAGACAATGCATACATAATAACTAAAAATAAAGAGACAATTTGTGACTAAACTGGAACCAATGCATATCAAATAAATTTACAAACAGTGACAATATACAACTGGATACAAGGCAACATGTCATACAGTATCGGATACATAAGCAACATGTTGCCATCGACCTTCCAGAGTGTCAATCAAACTTTACAACTGACCAATTTGAACAGTGCTGGAGGAATACACACGTTTCCAACAAACACACATGTTGACCCACAAATGCATGCGCTTACGTACATTTACGCTTTTGCTTTGTGTGGGACCTTAGCAACAATATCCAAGAGGCGGGGCTTAGTGGAAAGGTCACTGAGGTCAAAGCAACACACTGCTGCGCACTGGATACAGGGAAATGTGTTGCAATGTAAACAAACACACATGTTGCAATGGACCCAGAAAATATTTAAATGGATACACATGCAACATGATGCACTGTATTATATACACATTCAACATGATGCATTGTATTGTATACAAGAAAATATGTTCCAACGGATATATGGTAACATTTTGTTCACTAAATACAAAGCACCATTTTGCACTCGACACATGAACACGTTTCACTGTATGCACGGAAACATTTTGTACTGAACAGACAACATGTAATTTCGGTTTTCACTTACCATTTCCTGAAAACAAAAACATTCAAATTAACATTACAGGAAGAAGTCATTTCCAACTCTGTCCTTGCATGTAAGCTTTAAAAAAATCAAAATTACTCTAAATGATTCACTCACTTCCTGTTTCGACAGGGTCATTACCCTGTGAGGACATCATACTCTGGGACTCCAGGACAGATCCTGTGACCTCTGACATTTCTGGCTCAGTAAGTTGACTATGGTTTTTCTCATAGGATTTATCGTTTAAGATATCAAGATGCGCATCCAGTTCATCAGCATCGGATGCGCCATTCTCTTCCATGCGGCTGACTGGCCGTGATGAGGCCCTGACGATGGCTAGCTTTACCGTACCTTTTGCCCGTCTCAGCAGGCTTATGGCTTTATTATGTGTCATCCCTACAAGGCTCTGTCCATTAACCTGCGGTGGGACGAATTAGAACAAATATTACACATATTATCAAGTTCCTTCACAATAATAATATGCAATAACAATGACATAGATTTGTCCTTGTTTTCTTTTTTGTATGTAATGAGGTCTTTATATTATAAATCAAATAATCGCCCACTGACATGTACCCTGAACAAAGATTACTGGGTTATAGTTTGCTTGTTTAACCTTTATTCTATTGTTGAATGTGCATTTTTTAGGTATATAATTTTAATACATAAATGTATTAATTTCACTATTATATTGTTGATGTCAATATACAGTATATTGTGATTAAAATTAAAAAACATCTCTACAAACAATAAATTTCATTAGTATTTAATTATATAGGTATATATTTTGCATTGTATTATATGTTTATACAGTGTTTGCCATTTGTTAACATGTGACTTTGTGGGCTCCATTGTGCATGATATTCATATTTTTGAATAAAACGTTTTCAGAATACAAAGATGAATTATATAAGATCATTAAGTGTTTAACACAAGAGTTTCCTATAAAAGTCAATAAACTTTAAAGTTGAAGAAATCATTTAAACTATTATATACACCAGGCAGTACTACTTATCAGAAAAAATTCCATAATGATGTAAATATTGGTGTTTGCAACTTGCAGTATTATATTGTTACATGTGGAAATAAAGTAACGATTACCTGTAGTAATTTATCTCCAATTCGTAACCTTCCATCATTTGCTGCTACTCCACCTGGTGTGATAGTCTTGATAAAAACACTTGTCTTACCTCCTTTTTCTCCCCCTATCAAGCTGAACCCAAGACCACCACTTGCTGGCTTTTCAAACTCAATTCGAATGACACCACCCTAGGGATGATAAATAAAAATACTTAAGGATTTAGTTTCATATGTATTATGCAAGTTTTACTTGCGAAACATTAAGTCTTTCTAAGTTGAGCAATGTGTAAAAATTATCTTTCACAACTGAAGTACCTCTGGCCGGTCCAAGAGCGTCATAACTTCCTGCTAAACTGGGGCAATCCAGCAAAAAATATACTAAAAAACGACTACTTAAGTATTACTCATTGCAAAGTGTGTACAATGTTAATGTTTCAATGTCAAACTAATATCTATTGCCTCACTGCTCCTCTATTTACCACCCAGTTTTTATAATTATATTTTAGATAAAATCTGAAAAACCCTCAAATATCCAATTAAACCATATGAATTGCTCATTTCAGAGGATCAAATAAGCTACTAGTATCAACTGACTCACAAATCAAAATACTTGTCTGATTTGATCTAGACTTATACTACAAAAATGGCAATAGTCTATATATATATATATACGCATCTGTTGATTGGCAAGAAAAATAATTTCTTCATATTTTTATTTTTTTATTTTTTTTTCATTCTTTAATTTTATTGTTTTTGTAAACATAGTCTATCTTTATTGAAATGTATTTTTTTAGGGAGCAGCTGACATGAAAGAGTTATATTGAATCATTTGCTTAAGCTGCCCCAACCATTTTTTAGTATTTATGTGGTTGAATAAATAAACAAAATGAAACCAACTGAAGGCAAGTAACACAACTGAAAGCAAGTAATTAATAGTTCATTTTGTTTTTACATGGATTAGATCAACACACATATATCTTGCATTCTCTAGTTTGACATCTAAACATCATTTTGTTGCTCTTTAACCTATCTCGTGACAGTATTATTTGTTTAACATGAATACAAAATCAAGGCAGTCAGACGTCTTGCAAGTCTATATACTCCTTGGTGATACCCAACAGAACCGATTTTTGTGAGACAATTAACATCTTGACAAGATTTGATTGATAGATAAGCCGACTTATCAGCGAGCGTCATTTAGTCACGTGATCAAAAACTTTTTCTCGAACATTTTAATTTCCTTAGACAGCTGGTTGTCAACGCGAAACATACGTGAGCCTAGGTCTAGATGTCTACGCTTTGTTAAAGATACCCAGATTTACAGTGCAGAGCAGTGCGCATCAGTGATTTGGCCTTTGCCGACAACGAGGTTGACTGAATGCGGCTTTTCCCTCTTCCTTTGGGAGCGAAATACAGAGGCTTTTACAACAACTTCACATATTCATAGATTCACTATGAATATGATTCATCTGCATACCGCCTACCCTGAATTCTCTTTCTTAAAGAAGGTTGATAGTAAAGAAAATGTTCGCCAACTTGGTAAGTCTAGCCGCCATTGTCTAAGGTTTTCGTGACTTTGTGGGCAGGGCTTCGCATCTTTGTCGACATGTCAATTGATATTACAGTAGTAAAAACAAATACTATATTATTATAATACTGAATTTGCAGGAGAAAATGGTTCTTTTCCCGTAGGTTCTTGCTTGCTTGCGGGAGTGCAGGAGGCCGTCTCAATTTTCTGAAGGCTCCTCAATCTTGAGGGAGACTTGTGATCTCTGTACAAACATATTTTAAGAATCTAAACGACAGTCAAAGTATAATTATCTACTATCATACAAACCACATAAATTATGAATCCCACATATTTTTAGAGTTATATAACAAAGTATAACACTGTGATGTCACTAACCATACAATTGCCTCTATGGACTTTATGGTAATTAACGTTTAAGTTAATAATTAAGTTAGTAATTAAATTATAAGATAGTAAAATACATACTCCAACTTTATGGTAATTAACGTTTAAGTTAATAATTAAGTTAGTAATTAAATTATAAGATAGTATAATACATACTCCAACTTTATGGTAATTAATGTTTAAGTTAATAATTAAGTTAGTAATTAAATTATAAGATAGTATAATACACACTCCAAATATCGAAATGCATGCCATTGTGTCAGGATTCAATATTTCAACATTAATTATGTCATCATCATTCCTGATGATGACATAATAATGTCGAAATATTGCATCATTATTCCTGAAGATGACATAATTAATGTCGAAATATTGAATCCCGACACGATGGCGCGCATTTCGATACTTGGAGTATGTATTATACTATCTTATCTGAGATTATTCAGTGGACCTTTCGGTTTTAATTAAATTATAGTTTGTTATAAATTGTGATTTCGAAAGTCCTTTTAACAGCTCAAATAAAATATAATAATCACCGAAACTGGTCCTGTAATCCTTGGAATTTTGCATGGTGTGGTTTTTGACCAACGAGCTGTCGACATGGAAGCATCACTTGCCATGGCAACGTGACAGCTAGTCAGTGACACAGTTGTTTGGACAGAAACAGGAATTTTTTTCAAGAAAAAAAACAGTGTTTATAATGTTACTCGAATAGCTTTAAAATACATTCACAGAGATATCCAGCTCTTCTGAATCAGAATAAAACCGCAGAACAATTTCTATGCACTTTCGATTTGTGCAATTATATATGCTGTACAAATAATGAAAACTAAATGTTTAATAAGCATATATTAAGGGTGTACCATCAGCCGCTGCCAGAATCCAAAATGCTTAGAATGTTTGCAATAACAGATATCAAGAAAATCGAAAGTTCGCTCATATGCTTTTGACTCTTCAAAAGAACTACCTTATCCGCTGGTCATAAAGTCAATTTGTAATGGATATCCTAATTTTCAGAGCAATTTCAACGCTTATTGAAATATGTATCCTCAAACATAGTAAACAGCCAAGTCATCATAAAAAATAATATAATAGTTCAGAAATGATCACTCAACACCATCTTTTGTTCCTTAAAGTGACCTCAGAATAGTCTACTAAAGCTTTTTGTATTCCGTAACAGATATACATATGACCAAAAACTCCTGTGTAAATACAAACTCCTACACAATTAGCACGTCAGAGATTTTTCACTGCCATCAGGTTTTCACAGTCATGTGACGTTCATCCGCAATTTGATTTGTGACCGCTACAAGCTGCCTTTGAATACGCAATGTTTCTTAACTGCTACCCGTTTCCATTTCATCAGCTGGTTGGAGGCTTTTTAGCATGTTTGCCTGCTTTCGTGATTCACGGCCTAAGATAGCTGCAGCATGAATCACCCCATTTCCTTCCCCCACAGTGACTCACGCACACTTGAACACACTATGGCTAAAAATCCCCAACATCCTCTAAATTTGTTAGTGTATGCGCTATATGAGTCGCGTCACCTGCTTAAAGGTGTCTCGCTAGAGACACGTTGATCAACTAGTAAAGGTCACATAGAATATCAAAGATACGACGACTTCTCACTGACCTGAAGGACGTTATTAATGACAAATAGTGACAAACTGGATGATTCGGAACTGGAGGAAAACTTCTCTAACCATTGGTTCACTCAGCTAACAAGAGACCTTGTAAAAAACTCCTTCAAAGCATTGCAAGTACTTATAAAAATACAAATTTCACTATAAAATAAGTACTGTGACTTGAGTACTGAACTTATTATTCAACATTGACTATTCTTTAAAGCAGCCTACATTCACTCTAGGCCTGTTGCCACCTTGCATTTCCCACTCAACCTTTTCCCACCTCGCCTTTTACCACCCCATTTTTGCCAAATGGCAAATTTCATGTGACAAATACACATTTTTTGCATATATATGGGTGTGACATGATATCAGTGGTATATATAGGGGGAGGGATACACACCCCCTTCCAAAAAAAATTTGCACCCCCAGTTTTCCCCTGCCTTTATAAATGGTCAAGGCAAAACACTCAAGTAGTTCAAAATTACTTTATTTTTTGCGAGCTAACGCCCCTTACCTAGTAGGCGAGCCCCTACAATTCACTTTTACGCCCTCCCACCAGCTCTCCCCACCGCCACCCATTTTAAGATTCTTAGATAAACCATTGTATATCATCTTTTACATATATGGTCAAATCACACATACTAATAAATAAAAATAATATAGACTGAGCTTAAATATAGACATCCTTCAAACCGTGCAAACCATGACGTATTAATAATTACCTGACGAGAAGTTTCCTCCTGCTTACTAACATCCGTGTCAGTAGGAGATGGAGACCTAATTGCTAAGCGGGATGCCTCATTTACAGACAATACAGGTGATTTCACTGATGGTGACCAAGGTGTATGTTGGGCTGGTGAGACATCACCTGATGCATTCTCATCATTACTAAGTGGGGTTGAAGGTCGGTTTGCAATATCCTGAATTAAAAACAAATGAGAGAAACAGCAATGATTTATATATATATTAACACCAACAAGGGCTTTATAAATGAATAATTTTTAAATATTATTTTTATTAAAATTATTTTATAGTATTTAATTTTACCAGGGAGTACATATCAATTTAATGACCTCATTATTATACCATGATATGCTAATTTTTGTATGATTGAATTTCTTTGTAGAGTCTCTCACCTTCAGTTATTACACCTATTATTGGAACTTAAATCTTAATAATAAATTGAGCTTTTGAATCTGTCATGTAGAGCTCCATTGAAAATCAGTCTTAAGCATGTGGGCTTACCCTGGATAAATAGATGTAATAAACAAATAAGATATATAATTGTTAATGTTTAATCACTGCTAGGTTTTTTTCTTGTATTTGCAACTACGTAAGACACTGGATGAGACATTTCCTTTACGTAATTTATGTACGAGTCACCCACTAATGCACTAATTAAAATATCATCACACTAATCAATGATGTCACCCGAAAAATTAGACATTCTCAGAACGGCAATAATGAAGATATTTTAATCTAAGTCTCCCTTCCTTCCTTTCTTACAGATACACTGCTTGTGAAAGAAAATGAAATGAAATGAAAATAAATAAATAAATCAATCAATAAATCAATAAATCAAAAATAAAATAAACAAATTAAATAAATAAAATTAAATCTGGTACACATCAGATATCCAATTAAAACTTTTAGTGTACACTTATTAAGTACTTTTTTCTATGAAAGTGATGAATATTCTTTGTTTTTGTTGCATTGTAGCTTGAGGTTTTTGCAAATTCTAAATGTTGTGAAACAAAAACAGCAAAATAAAAAAAACTATCAGATACATAACTTACAGAAAAAAAGCACAAAATAGAGAGGGAGATAAAATAGTTCATTAGCACATCCTGGAAGATAGTGAATTAACATTAATTATGGGAGAAGTTTTTTCTTACCTTTTCAGAGAAACTAAATTTATGTTCATTATCAGCTGGGGAAAGTTTATCGTCTTCAGAGGCTGAGAAATCAAAGGCTGGAGACTGGAGTCTATCATCACTAGCAGCTGATATATTTGACAGTGTTCCTGGAGACTTTGGATCCTTCAGCTGATCAAATGAATTCTGGGATACAATGGGTGTTCTTTTTAATGTATTTTCACCCTCCGCTGGTGTGCTGGTATTGACAGCTGGCAATATAAGAGGAAGTGGGGACAGTGGATTATCTTTCATCAATTTCTTTGTATTTTCCTCTTCCTTCTCTTTTTCTTCAACGTCTTCTTTCTCTTCTTTTTGATGTGCCTTGCTGACGTCATCTGCCGGCTTGTTGGACTGAAATTCCTTTCGATTGGCTTCTATGGAAGCTAAGAGGTTATCTACATCTTTTAATTGGTCACCATCCGATGAGAAATCCTAAAAAGAAACATTTTAGCACACATAAGCAAATATTGTCTAAAAGAAAAGCTTACAATTTACATCTTTGAATAAAACAATTATATATCTAAGTGTAGCTGCTATAGAACAAAATAAAAAATGACAACAGCACTTTTAAGACGAACTTATAAATAAAAAATAAAATTTGTATGTACATAGCCTCCATGTACATATCCGGACAGATATGTACATGCTTCGTTGGATGGCATATGTCAGCCTAAAATACAGAAAATCGTAACCAGAACTGCTTGGCAGTTTCAACCTACCGACTATAAGCGATGCTATATAACACGGCCGCCTGAGATGGTATGGGCATGTTGACAAAATGAACAACGACAACTGGGTCAAAAAGTGTAGGGTGATGGAAATTAAGGGGACCAAAGGTAGAGGAAGGCCTAGGGAGACTTGAGAGCAAGTTGTGGCTAGTGATCTCCATAAGCTAAAGATAAGCCGTGCAACTACACGGAATAGAAATGACTGGAGGAAAGCTATCATGATGAACAGTCCAACCCATGCTAGCATGGATTAATTATGGACTTAAATTGATTTGATGAAATAAAACATAAAAATATTAAATTTACTAGCTAGCTTTCGGCCACACAGTAACTGTAACTGTATTTAATGAAACAACTTACTTCCCAATCGGAATCAGATGAAATATCACCAAGATCAATGTCTGATTCACTACGTAAATTATGTGTTCTGATTGGTTTCAAGTGATTATTATTCTCCAGTTTTCCTGACTTGTTCTTGCCTCCTGTTGAATTAAGGGCACTGTCCACATTTGTATTCTGCGAGACTTCTAATTTACTATGCTCGGACTCATCATCTACGTCAGATACAGGAGGTGTTACCTTTGGAATTTCTACAACTGGTTCTCCCTTTCTATTAAGCAAAATCACAAAGCATTGAAATTTAACAGAAAAATACTTAAAAAGAAAATCACAAATAAATTTTACACAATAAATTGTTGTCTCCAAGCTTCATAATGAGCCCGAGGTTATAGAACACTACACAGTTCCATTGAACCATGTCTGTAGAAAAGATCTTGAAAATGCCATACTTATTAAACACAAGGAAATGCAAGCATGTTATTGTTCGTTAACATTAAAAGTTAATATTGTATGCCAAAAAGTTCCTATTTACTAATTTAGAGTACATCCTAGGGTGCCTATGGCAACTGAAATTTAACCCTACACTAGGTGTTGAATTTGGAAATTCAACAGAGAGATGGTTCAACAGGGAGAGCAAGCTGCTTGAATAATTATAACCAGGGGGAAAAAAGGTCACCTGACACTGTGGCTAAAGAACAGCACTATGTGGCTTCCATTTATTAATCCCTGTCCAAACTATCAAATTTTATTTGACAAAACATGTGACATGCCTAAATATGGGCATGATGACATCACATCATGACCATATATAGGCACATCATGACTAAATATGGGCATACAACAGTTTTTTTCAAAGAAAATTTGATAATCTGGACAGAGCTTTATGCTTTAAAATACTCTACATTTCACATGAATAATATGCTTAATATGGTCTTGATTATATATGTGGCTGCTATGATTGTTAACTCTACCTTGTAAGTTGAAGCTTCACAACAGGTGCAGCAGCTTCTAGAGCCCTTCTGGCCTGCAATAAACCCAGACCAGACAAACTCTGCCCATTGATGTAGTGAACTTGATCCCCTGGTTGGATGGAACCTTCAAGGTCAGCAGGTAACCCTGGAATGACATCACTTATGAAAACACCTGGCCTACGACCCTTCAGGTCAAGCGTTAAGGATAGTCCTAAATGTCCAGCCGCATTGCGTTCCATCTCAATAACAGGAAGGTTGCTTGTGATACTGACGAGGCTGCTCGGTGGAGATGCAGGGTCAGATAAAGGACCGGTAATGGGTTCAGAGCTCACCTCTGATTTTTTGGGTCGAGACAATTTAATGTTGACCTCTTTCGGTGTCATCCGTAGGAAAGAAACAGCATCGAAGTGACTCATGACAGTGATATCTTGTCCATTTACCTACAATGATGAACATTAATATGCGAATCATTAAAATGAAATCAGAAGTGTTGTGAGCCTATTGAGATACCAGCATAAACTGATTAATGGCATGTTTCCTTTTGCAAAATGTCTGATTAAATATGTGAATATATAATTCTAGGGCTCTAAAAAAAAAAAAAAAAAAAAAAAAAAAAAAAAAACATGTGACAGCTAAATATGGTCATGATGACATCACATCATGCCCATATATAGGCACATCATGACTAAATATGGGCATGATGACATCACATCATGACTAAATATAGGCACATCATGACTATATATGGGCATACAACAGTTTTTTGTCGAAGAAAATTTGATAGTCTGGAGAGAGCTTAAAACAAACACTTAAAATATTTAATTTCTGAAATCAAAGCTTTGAGTGCATCAGATTTTCTTGGTTTTTCAGATGAAATACAACATTGTTCTCTCTGTAATAGCCATATTTGTGGCATGCAAAGACTAATGGGCATCTCAACTGTGCTTAGTTACTTTTCTAGCATTCTATCAAACCCATAATTACTGTTAACAAAAGTTTTAACCAGTTTCTGTCCTGCATATCCCTATTCCCAACCATTGTGGTAAAAGAAATCAATTGAGGTCTCAAAGAATTATCATTCATATTTTAATGAGTCGTTGACTCACCTCAAGGATCTTGTCTCCTTGTTGCATACGGCCATCAGATTTAGCTGGGTCGTCCACCACACCCTTGATGTAGCACCCTCCAGTCTTGGCGCCTCCAGACACAGTGAAGCCAAGCCCACCTCTTGCTGGTTTCACTAAGTTAACCTCAAAGATTTCCTTAAAATTCAACAACATAAAAAAAGTAACACTACATTAGAAGTGGAGGAAATGCCCTTAATTATACATTACAAACACATCTGCAAGTAGAGATTGTCAGTAGAGATTGTCAAGAGATGGAATGAAATCCAACTTACATTGTTGTCACTTTTTTTCTGATCTTCTAATGGAGATTTTGGTGGTGATGTTGATGGTGGAGTGGGTATTCTGGACTCATCATCATTATCATCACCATTGAGTTTAGTTGGTGAAGGGGAGCTAAATAGGCTGGTATTGTCTGCGGGACTTGGGTTCTGGGAAGGGGTTACTGGCCTAGGAGATATTGACAGATTAGCTTCCATTTCAGCCTGCTCAGCCTAAGAGAAAAAGTAGGGTTAGAAACTTGATTAGGATCATTAGGAGAATCAAATTCAAGCAAGATACAATGTATGTATATATTTATTTTTTTTTAAATTAAATTAATTTTTAAATATTTAATTATTAGTCTCTCTATAGCTCCATGAAACATGACTAGAACACTCTGCCAGGACATGGACAGGGTGCATGGTTGCCACTGAATCCAATGAAATGGAAAGAACCGTTGAATACGACATAAAGTAAAAATTGCTTCTAAACAAATATTAGATTGGATTATATAGCAATAATTTCAGTAACTTTTTGGTATTTCATTTGCATATTTCAATTGTACTGTTGAGATTTATTTACCTTCAATCGAATATTATCAAGTTCTTCCTCGTTTGGACGACACAATAGTAAGCTAACTGGGTTTGAAGCACTGCGTAAAACACCAACAGTTTCCTACAGAAATTAATGGATAGCAGAAATTTCAAAAAACAGAAATCTGAGAGACTAAAGCCTGGCCCTCACTACATAGCACGACGAATGCGAGTCCGCTCCTTGTAAGCGTTTGACGACGCGACACCTCCTGCTGATTATCAGTGGAATTCTGAACAGGTTGTCATTTAAAACGATTGATTGTACACGTCATGGCATTGCGTTCCTCATAGAATCGCGTCAGACACAGTGAGTGGCTGGCTTAAAGTGCAATACCTGCAGTGTACCACATAGATACGGTGATATTGATATAATGCTACAGTAGAGCTTCTAATTAGGGGACACCTTCGAGACCAAAGAAAAGTGTCTCCTTAATAGCGGTGTTCTAAAGAAAAGGTTCTCCTGTATAATGAAATAGGAAACTTACTGCATGTGTAAGGCCATGAACCACTGCCTGGTTGACCTTTAGTATGACATCATTTACTTCAATCATGTCACTCTCCGCTGCTGGTTGACCTGCGAAGATCCTTTTGATTCGAATCAACTGGATTATGGGATCCTCATGAGCATCTTTACCCCCTTGGATACTGAAGCCTAGACCCTGAGATCCCTTCAACAGCTCCACCTCAAATGTGTTGTCTGTAGGATATAAACAAAAGGTTAAGTAATGAAATAAATGGATCTGGGTTCAACATATTGAAGGGTTTTAGTTTAAAGTACTGCGAACTGAGGATTTTTTTTAATCATTATTTTAATCAATGCCAATCCCCATGCCTCATTTTCCACATTCAATTCGTAAAAGTGACCATGGAAAGGTGAGCATTTAACATGGTTTCTACCATTTTAACCATAGCCTTAAACACAATATAACAAATCAAATATTTAAAGTTATTGCTGTCAAGATAAATTAAGATGAACCTCAAAAATTATATTACAATATTCAAAAGACACACACAACTGAAAGAATTAAGTTTTTACAGATATATAGATGTTCTAACTACAAAAACTAAACAAATCACAGTACTGTACTTAAGCTATTTTAATAATTGAATTTAGTTGTTATTTTTAAGCTGCAGACAGACAGAATCTTGAATATATGAAACGATATAGTAAAACATTACCTGGTGTTACATATGGCAGATCTGGAAGATCTATGGTCACTCCTTGACCAATAACTGACCTCATGGTTCCGGTCAATGACATGTCGTTGAATGAGAAGTTACCGGTTCTGCTGAGAGTTGATGATGGTGAAAAGACCGAGTTATCTACCAGCAACGAGGGCTCTTCCATTACTGATGATGGGGGTGTATTGGACCACTCACTATCCACTGGACTTGATGGTGGGGATGTGAACACCAGCTCCGGCGCTGGGCTGCGAGGGGTGGTTTCCAGGGATGGATTTGGATGGACTGTGGACGGAATGACATTGTTTTGAGATGGTGAACTTATACGCTCCAGTAAGTCAGCCTCTTGGGTGCTAAGTGCTGGTGATACAACTTGACGACGGATATACGTCTCCTCGTCATTATCATCATCCATGGACAGGTCTTCTTCACTTTCTGCCTTATTAACATCTTCTTTTGAATTGTAACTTTGATCGTGTGACAAATCTGGCACATTAGAGTTCAAAGATAGAGCATCTCCAAAATCTTCTATCGTGGGTGTTTCTGTAGAGATGTGTGATTCAGAGTCTTCATCATCACCAACATCTCTTGCTGGAAGACCAAATGGTGTTGAATCTCTTGTGCCATAGTCAGAAGGTAGCACCATCTGGATGTCCTCACTGTCGCTAAATGCAGGTGATGACATCTCATCATGAGATAATGCAATCTGCGGCGACACAACTACAGAGTTGTTTGGAACTTTGGTAGTAGACTGATTTGCATTGTCAGACATCGGTGATGTGACACCAGATGACTGGTGAGGGTTTCTACCATCACCATCGTCATCATCAGTTTGATGATATGAACCAGAAGTGGCAGCAGCTTCTTCAAGACCTTTGGAATGCCAGAATGAAAAATATTAGTAACATTACAAATTGAATGTGAAGTGCTGTTCTTGATGATATGTCGGATGTTTTTCTATCCTTTTCTTTAAAATGCCTTGAGCACTATTGCAGTGGATATGTGCATTTTAATAAAAAATTACTACTTTTAAGCAGACAATTATTTAATACCAACCTTTTGCCACAGACGTCTCGTCGGCCATTTGAGGAAGTGTAGGTGTCGGAGGAAGGGCAGTGGCACCAGAAGGTGGGACACCTCGTTCAATTACCAGGCTGGTAACAGCTGGGGCTTTGCGCAAGGCTTCCACAGCCTGCTTATGAGTAACACTGGTCAATGGATCATCATTCACACTAATCACTCGATCACCTAAGGTTCAAAGGTAAATAGAAGATTTCAAGAATTGACAAAGGAGAGCTGTAAGTCATTACTTATTCAATTCTGCACACTGTCTACTAAAACGGTATTCATTATGTTTCTGTATTTTTGTTTCATATATAGTTTTTGTAATATAGTTAACATTAGCTATAATTTTGTGCTTTGAACTGTTTACTACATCGTCGCTTACATAAAGAACTAACACAATAAAAGTAGATTGTGTTAGTTTGTAAAAACAAAAAAGTGTGTTAAAATACGTGCTGCATACAAAATTACTTGACAACCGATACACACCTTTTTTGATGCTCTTTTTGCTGTGAATAACTGACTATGTTAGTTTGTGATGTGAGCGATGATATATTTGGTCGAATAAACACTGCTTGTCAACCAGTTTTTACCATTAATTATTTAATATTTCTTTTTAATGTTGTCTTTTTGATGATTAAATCTAATCTACTTTGAAGATAACGTGATACAAAGGCACTAATTCAATTTTCTATATCTTTGCCACCAACTTACCAACTTGAATCTGCCCAGTCTGGTCTGCAGCCCCTCCCTTTGTAATGGTCTTGATGTATATACCACCATGCTTCACACTAGTGTTAATGCCACCCTTAAAAATAAAAAGTAATATAAAACATAAAGATACACAGAATATTTTTCAAACTTATTTTATAAAAATTCAACAAGAATTTTGGCTAGTTTAATGTTAAAAGCCTAAAAATCAATTTTTAATTTTCATACAGAGTGCCCACCTGGAACTGTCAAAATTGAGGTGATAATTTATAAATAATTTCAAAATATTAACTTACAGTTACACTGATTCCAAGACTGTTGTTTATCTTCTTTAGCCTGACGGCAAACCTATCACCTGGATTGAGATCTTCTGGCAGAAGATCGTCACTGGTTTCTGAATCAACAGCCACAGCAGTACTTGTTGGTGTCCTCTGGCTGTCAACTGGTTCTTCTCTACTGAGCTCTTTCTCTGCAGATTGGAGTACTAAAGGTTTTCGACTACCAGGTGTTTTATCCGGGATCATATCCTCAAAGTCAGTATGCTCAGGTGTGGTGACATTGTCCCGATCGCTGCGGAACTCATCTTCCTCATCGCTTCCAAAATCAATATCATTCTGCGAGTCATCCTCACTGTTGATACCATCTGTATGATTTAAACCATTTGTGTTCGACTCATTGACATTCGGTACCGTCAATAAGTTACCGTTTGTCAATGGCCCGGGAGGTTGGTCGGACACACCTAGGTTGTACTGTGATCCAAAGCTTTCTGGTCGTCGTTTTGGTTTAACAGGAGGCAATTGCTTAGTATCGTGCAAGTCTACGAGCGGTTGCGTGTTAGTCTGCCTGGTGTTATCAATGGCAAGCGGTTTATGATTGTCAACAGTAGCATATGGCGATTCTTTGAAATGATCATTGGATGATTCAATGGCATGCATGAAATCTGTATATGGAAGTAAACAAATTTGATTGACGTGTAATGAAGCGTGTCCGAACAATGACAATGTAGAGAGCTGTGAAAATGGACATCGATAGATATAGGCCTCAAACTACAAACATATACCAGGGGCCGACTGTTCCATTAACTCTCGAGGGATGCTTTCACTTAATTGTCACTGTAGTCTATTAACAAAACCATCTAAGAAAGGTGACCCATGTAGGAAAGTTGATCATTTGGAAGCTTCAACGCCCAATAAACAAATCACTTTATGATTTTGGGGAATGGAGTGTTTTGGTATGAGAGATATTTGAGTTTTTAGCCAGAATCGAACAAGGATCTTGGGGTTTTGGAATACAAGTATCTAACCACCAAGCCACAGTTTTACTCTTATACTAATTGTTTATGATTTAAATATACATGCAAATACATTATATACAGTGGAATAATCTAGGATTCTTGAAATGGGGGAGGGGGGAGGGCTGATGGGGAACGAAGAGGGAGAGGGAGAGCAGTAGGTTGCAAAATTAGGTGATATGAGGTGATTATTAACTAATGAGCATGATTTTTTTTGCTTCAGATATTTTCAATGGGGGGGGGGGGTGACTGGTGGAGGTGTGTGGGCCCACCCCCTATACACACCACTGATTATATGTGAAACAGACTATAAGATTTGGTATGGACTATTACTTCTCCAATAGGATTAAGAATTTAAAAAATATTAAAGAAAAATGTTTAGTCACCTCATCAATGAATGAATCCCTAAGATTCTCCAATTATATGGGCATAAATAAACATTCTGTTACACAAAGGTCTTTCCTATTCCTCATTCTTCTTACATTTATTCCTATTTCTTTATTCACTAGTTTGTTTCAGTTCTTTCCATCCCATGGTAAAAAGGTAAATAAATTATAAATTTGAACATTTATCACCATTCATGAATAAATGTTGTTTTAGTGACAATGTATTTTGTAAGTTAGTGTGGTGTACTATGACTGTAGAATCAATGAAATTATGTGAAATTCATATGCAAATATGATGATGTTGATTGCATTATTAGCACCTGTTAATGCCACAGTACTACCCTCTAATCTACTTCCAATATATAGATAAATATTATATATAGTAGATATATAGACATGAACATATATGTGAAGACAAAAGATACATTTTACATTGACGTATATAAGATGAGGTTATAACCATGAAGAGAATGTATAAAATGTATTTTTAAAACATATATCCTATGTATGATGGTTCATCATTATGATTATATATTATTGTTACAACATTTAAAGCAGAACCCAACACCAATAACTTGCAACTTATATTAATGCATGACATTAATAATAATTAGGAGAGTAATATTGTAAAATGAAATGCGCCTGGAAGATTATTATTGTTGGTTGTCATATTTTCCCTAAATAATGAACATTATTAGATTTCTAATATTTGCTGTTGATTAGGCATGTATTTAGGATGTTATGAGTTATTCTCCCATCCATATATTTTTTGCACATATTAATTACTGTTTTGCATAAAATCCCACCTGGATCAGGAGTTTTCGGCTGTGAAAGTATCATCTTCACCACATTCTTTGACGTCTGAATCATCTCAACCGCCCCTTTGTGGCTGACGCCCTCAAGGCTACGATTATTAATTGAGATGATACGGTCACCAGGCTTGATGCGTCCATTCCGCTCTGCTGGGCCGTCTGGAGTGACACTTTTGATGAAAACACCAAGGTCAAGGTTTCGCGAATTCTCACCGCCAACAATTGTTACACCTGCGAAAGGAGTGAGTAAAAAGTGCAATTTCAGTCATTTTAATTCGATAAAAAGGAGCAGTTGGCAGTTCAATAGAGTAAATTCTTATTGGTTAGTCACTCAGTGCGCACTCACACAACAGATCCTCTGGTCACTGGATGAGTCCCAACTGGCTGCTCCCCAGTTGTTTCACCTTGTGGACTCAAACGACTACAAGATGTTTAAATTCAATGTTTTAGATGCTTTTTACACACATTAACATAGAGAGCACTCTATCACAAACACTACACCTTGACACAGATATCGCTTGAATTCTAAGGCTCTAACAATGAAGACGTAAAATTTGCAACTAACCAATTCCAAGTTCTGGATCTTTCTGTATTTTGACGGTAATAATTTCTCGTTCCGGCGTCTCTGGTACAGGGAGCTCATCCAAACGCTGCCGCAAGGAGTTACTAATAGTCTCATTTGGATTCAATCCTGGAGTAAATGGTGTCTGAGGCTGTGACCTAATACTGGAATCTGTTGATGGAAGGAAGGTATAGAAAACATACAATATAATTAGTAATTACTATATCATTAACAGCTAAAATAGGCTCATTTGTTTCAACACTATTTAACAAGGAATTACATTCTTTTTTAAAGTTTTTTGGATACTATTCAATATACCATAATATCTAGTAAAAATAAAATTGATACCTGGTAGTATCTTTAAATATCACTATAACTCATAAAGTGGTCCTTTTGTATAAGATCCGATATGCAATTGACCTTATTTATACTCCAATTGTTAATTACATATCTGTAATTAACCTGAATTTTGAAGTTGTACCAAATTACCTCATCTTTCATTTCATATTTATCTCTAAGTTTGAACCAGGCATTTAAAATATCATGGAAAAAGGCGTTTCGTATATTTTTTATACGGTTTAAGTACGTATTATTAATGACATATATAAGCTTAAAAAATGATTCAATTCTTTGGAAACAGTATTTGTATATATGGTGGTAAAAATGATTTTTTCATAAAGTATTGCATAATATGCAATTAATAGAATGGAGTAGAATAGTTTGGTTGTTAAAATGCCTGCCTTTCACTCCCAGGGTCTTGGTTCAAGCCTTGTCATAGAAGGGTTATTCTCTCACAATAAATACCAACTCCACTACCTTAGGCTCATAAAGACATTTAGTTAATAAAGCATTGAGAATATTTTACTTAGAAATTCAGAAAGTACATTTTCATCACATATACGCATGGCTTCTTTACAAAAAAAAAAACATAGGCCTATGTTCTCATCAAGATCTGACCCAAAAATCCTTAGGAAGGATCTCATCATGCTCATATTACACTTCAAACCAGGCAAGAGTCTGGTATGTAAAACACATTAAGCAAACTAATACAAATTTAACAATAATATATTTTCATATAGTTTCATCAAAAAACAAAAGAAAAGTATAACTTACCAATAACTTTTGCTTGTGGATCTGTTTTACGATCAAGTGACCTAAGTTAATAAGAAAAATTCATAAATGAATAATTTTTGTTTGCAGTTATACTATGTCACTGAATGATTGACTATGTACAATTTCTTTTGATATTTAAAATAAAAATAAAAGTTGTGTAACATATTTTGTGGTGGCAATATCGCATAATGGTATGGTATCTTGTGCAACTTTAACGAATTGTATTGACTACTCTATATGACCAATAAATGAACTTTGCATAATGACTTGAGGTCAGAGGTCACATACAAAAAATAAACATACCTGTCTCTTTGTTCATTTTGCTTTTCCCGCTTGCGTCTAATACTATCTATTGTAGCGTAAGCTGGGTCTTCCGCTTCCATGTCATAATCATCAACAATCTTCCCATCAATTTCCTCAAAACTCTGCGTTCTTTTGGAAGATGGTCTACCACGCACTTCACGCACATTCTCATACTGAGCATCTCCTGTGAGACTGTATTCAAGAATGGAATCTTGTTCATGAGAATTGTCGTAGTTGTTAAGTCGGAAGCCACTTTTCGCACCATTATTGGGTATTGATGTCTGAGGCTGGTAACTGTCTCGAAGAGAGTCCTCAAATCCATCATCAAAACTGTCCTCGTGGTCATGAAAGTTGTAACCAATGGAAATGGACTGAGAGATTGATCCACCAAAGGAATCCGAATCTAATGGATATTCTATTTATAGAAAAAAAAAGATACATATTAACTAGAAATTGCAAATGACCTTTCAGAGGTCAAATTGCTGTCAAGAATATGAATTGGCTGCTTTGCAGCAATCACAATTATTAATAGAATATATTATATTTGAACAATAATTTAGGTAGGCAGCCCCTCCAGTTACGTCTTGTCGGTGATACCATATAATGATATTATGAAAACCACACTAAACTAATGGTATTTACCAACCTTTATTGAACTGTTGTGATGTGTTTAGTTTCTGCCTCATTGCCATTTGAAACCTGTGCTGCTGCTTACTGAACTGTAGTAAATACCGCCCTCTGTAATAAATCAAACAGTTTCATTTTAAAAATGGTGTTTTTAGGTCTAAAACTATTTTTTAGGTCTAAAATAGGAATGCTGGTCACTTCGGCCCAAACCAACTCGGCCCAAACCAACTCGGCCCAAACCAACTCGGCCCCAGATAACACTTTGGCCCAAAACCAACTCGGCCCCAAACCCACTCAAATTGCCAATCATGAGCTTTAAATAGCAATATTGCAAAGAAAAAAACTTAGGAAACAATGCAAATTTTCTCATCTTTGAAATTTACAATTTACATTATTTCAGCTCTACCACAAGATGGCTTACAGTTCATTGTCAGGTAAACCACACTGTATCATATGCATAGGAAGGGGTGAAAATACATTGCATACTGGGAAGACTTTTTTCAAGGAATAAGTTTTTAAAGATAAGTTTTCACAAAATATGAGTAGACTACACTGTACAATATGCCATATAAAGTTATGAAAGTGCAACAAAATAAATATGGCAGTTAAATAATTGTAGCAGCATGAAAGCCTGGTAAATAGAATTCAAATATTTAATGTTCTCTAAGCATTTTTTTCTTAATGCATTTGCATGAGAAATTTAAACTTACTTCTTATAATTATCAGTGTAAAGTATAATCCTACCGTCAGTATCTCGTGCTTCAATGACAAATCGTTTCCGCTGAAAAGAAAAAGACGTTCCTATAATTCAGATCTTTCTGTACAAGATTAGAATTCAGTGGCATATTCAAGGGGGGGGGGGGAAGATGAAAGTACCTCCCTCGGCCCCTCTATTTTCAATTCCTGGATCCGCCACTGGAATTACAGTAATGTCTTGACGTTAGGCTTGTATAGATTTTAGTTCAAAATATTTAAGTAGATTCTTTTAAAATCAACAAATAATTGTTTTTATTTTATGTTCTATTACAGTAACAAATACAACAAACAAGGAACTAATCAAAATTAAAAAATCATCATCATCATCATATAAATTTTTAAAATACATCAAAAAGCTATTTTAAATTAACTATTGAAAGGTTGATGGCACAAAAAAAGAGAAAGCATTTATTTTATGGTCAATCACAGTAATAAATACAACATAGAAAGAACTAATTAAAATAAGAAAATCAACATCACCATATAAAATTTTTAAAATACTCTACATCAAGAGCTATTTAAAACAATTAAAAAGTTGATGACACAAAAAAAGAAAGCATCAAAAATTTACTAATAAGAAAAAACAAGAAATTGACACACTAAAAAAAAATAAAAATTGAATATTTGAGGGAAAACAGACAAGGAAAAAAAGGAAACAAGAAAGCGGTTTGCAAGGGCAAGTAGAAAAAACATGAACAAGGATCGAAAAAGAAAAAGACAAAAAAAGGGAAAGAAGAGCAAAGGATGACCCCTCAGGTTTGTACCTTGAGGGGGTCTAGATAATAAATAAATAAATAAATAATGAAAACTGATACTTACATTGAATGCAATTTTTTTGGTAAGATGCCAGGGGTGTCTCTGTGTTGGGACACGTTGTTTTCCTCGCTTGTCATATAAAATAACTCCCCTTGTACATAACCCTACCCACAGCGATAACTCGTTCTCCTTTTTGCTTTGTGAAATACGATGAAAGTGGATTCCATACTCCGCTAGCTTTCTTGCTTCCTATTGGTATACAAAAGAAGATTTAAAAACAGAATTCTTTTTTTCAATCTGTAACTTATTGAAATTGGATGTCTATGATTATTCAATAGATTCAGATTCAGAGTCAGATTAAATTGTATTTGTCCAATGGGAAATAGCAGTGAGTACACTTTCAGGTCATTAAAATGTATAAACAAAAATTGTTCCATATAGATAAATATACAATAAGTTGTTTTAGTGAATATTTCTCAATATTTTGAGTGACAGTATATCATAATTTATAGTAAAGTTTTGAATTTTCTAGTCTGCCTAGAAAAATTCTCCAGGATTCATTTCTCACTTGAAAACCTATAGTTATGCATACAATATCAGATTTTGTTTGTCAGACACAAAGCACAGATGTTGATTTCAATTTGTGCATGATTGTATCAAATCTGATCAAAGAAATAGTGTGTTTTCTCATGTTTATTGGAAAATGGAGAATGCACCACAGTATTTTTATCAATTTGATCTAACCTGTTGGTTGTTGGAGGACTGGAAAATCTCAATCACAGTCTTAAAGATGTATTGTCCCATGTTAAATACCAAAAAAATCATACAAATATTTTTTGGAATTAACTTGCCCATTTTGAAATAACATAAAAGTTATCAACTTGAACATACAAATTTGTGTATTTAATAAATGTCTACCCATCAGTTTACAGCGAAAATTGATAGAAACACTTCCAGTAACTGGAAGTGTTTTATTATAATTTTTTTGTTTAAAAATCAGGGTACACATTTTTTAAATTCAATAATTGTTATGCACAAGTTAATAATTTGTATGCTATTGCAATATGAGCAAGTTTATTTCAAAACTATTTTTAAGATTTTTTTTCCATAATCAAAATGTTAATTTCCACCATAGGCAGTAATTAAAGTACATAGAGATAAATCAAAGAAACATCATAAATCAATTACTAAAATGTTTTTATGAAAAATAATTTTGAGACAAGCAAACACAAACAACATTCATTTATTAATAAAGAGATGTGCTTAAGACTTCTGTCAGTAACTGACCATCAGAAATTCTAGCTCTGCTTGTTCCTCAGCCATTCCCTTCTGAAGTTCATGCATGGGAGGTAGTCTCCTCCTGATCTCTGCCACTCCGATTGCAGAGATCACGTAAACTGGCAAATACTGCTCTGGCAGGAAGTAATTCCGGGTTGCTGAGGATGATGCGTAATCTCCCATCTCAGCTTGCAAAGCTAGAGATGCAAGTTGCAAGGCTGCCTGCTCATCACACTTAGTTCTTTCCTCTAAGATATCCTTCCGCAACTGAAGATAGTACTGATGCCTTGTGGTTATGTGCCTGTCAAAAATGATAGTTTTTTTTTTTTTTTACAAGATACAGTTTCAAATGTAAAATAACAATTATCAATGTCAAATAAATCATCTTAAGTTCTGATTTCACTTTCATTTGCTTACGACAATAATTCAAAACTGATATGAAAACAGTTGACTTTCTAAAACTGCTTACTTTACACAGACTGAATTGGTTTTTCCATTAAACATAACCATTTTTGTACATTTAAACTGATAACTTACACTATACTCTTATGATCATGTCTGTAATTTAGCAGTAAAGCTTGAATGATGCTACATATTAACACAACTTTTAAAATGCTCACTTAATTTTTTACAATTGACTATAACTTACAATTATTTATCATTGTTTATTCTATGAAAAGTTGTATAGAAAATCAAAATATAGACTTATGTTGGAAATAAAGACTGATTGCATATGTTAAATTGAAAGAGTCGCACTGTGCAGGTCATAATGTGAAGATGACACTGTGTGGGTCACACTTTACTGATCACACCGTATGGTTCATCCTGTATGAGTCAAACTATATATGTCACATTGTCTGGGCATCAATGTATGGGTCACACTGGGGTGACATTGTGCAGGTCACACTGTATGTGTCATACTGCAAGGGTGACATTGTGCAGGTCATACTCTATGGGTCATTTCATTGTGAAGGTCACACTGTATGGGTCATAATGTGAGGATGTCATTGTGTAGGCCACACTTTATTTGTCACATTGTGAGGATGTCATTGTGAGGTCACACTTTATGGGTCACACTGTGAGGATGACATTGTGCTGGTCACACTCTATGTGTCATATTGCAAGGGTGACATTGTGCAGGTCATACTGTATGGGTCATTTCATTGTGCAGGTCACACTGTATGGGTCACATTGTGAGGGTGACATTATGCAGGTCACACTGTGAGGATGTCATTTTGCAGGTCACACTTTATGGGTCACATTGTGAGGATGTCATTGTGCAGTTCACACTTTATGGGTCACACTGTGAGGATGACATAGTGCTGGTCACACTGTATGGGTCACAATTTATTGTTTATACGGTGAAGGTTTACACTGTATTTACGAGAAGAGTTTCAGAATGATGCTACCTACCTGAGAAGACCTGGATTTTCAACATAGAATTTCACTCGGAAAAACACAGTAAATGACTGGTTTGATATTCGACTCTTTTTCTTCACTTCTTCTTTCCATGATGGAGGACCAACTTTATGCAGTTTCTCATCTGGTTCCAAGAATAAGTACTCTCCATCTAAAACATTAAACCATTGTATAAAAATCATCTTCCAGAAACAACTAAGAATAAGAAAATTAACTAAAAGGAAGACGAATAAGTAGAAAAAGAATTAAGAACAGGGAAAGAAGAAAAGCTGAAGAAGATGAAGAACAGCATAAAGAAAGAGGGAGTTGAGAAGAATGAGAAGGGATGAAAGAGGGAGAGCAGTTGATTGAGAAAGAAACAAGAAAGAGAATAGGAAGAGAAGGTTGACGAAATCAAAAAAGACAAAATGGGAGAGCATTAGAATAAAAAAGAAAAAAACTACAAGACAAGACGGGGTTCATGGGATGAGGAAGGCAAGAAAAAAGTAAGAGCAGTAGAATAATAACGAGGATGAGGAAAATATTGAGGCAGGAGACTTGAACTTACCACGGATGTAAGCAAGACCGAAGAAGAAATGTTCAAGAATATCTAGATATTTAACAACCAGTTCAAACATCTCCTTTCCTGTGGTTCCTAAATCACACATCAGATTTAATCGCCGTCCATTCAGTAACACACATGTCACCTTCTTACGACTCGGTGGAAGCTTCCCGGAACGACTCTGAAATATAAAATCACAAGCTGTACAAACATGCTCAAAGAACTTTCAATGGTGACACGGATTTTAGGATCACTGAAAACCATATAAAATGTTTGATTTTGCTTTGTGTGTGGTGGAGTCTCTTTCTGGTTCAGCTTTTGCTGAAAGGGCTATCCTCCTTGTGAAAGAGTTTAATAAATAATTGCATGTATGCTGTTGCCTGTTTAATTGAGTACTGACCAACATGACTGTTGAACATACAATTATCATTTTCATTGGTATTAGCTTCATTATTATTGTTTGATATTATTATACTATTTACCCAAAGGAGAGGTTTGAAGGGTAATGCAATAGTGTGCGCATAACTCACAAACTACTGGACCAATTTACGTCACATTTATACACACTGACATTGTTGCATGTTTCTCGGTCCTTTTCAAATTTGGTAAAACGTAAGATGCAAATTTTACAATATAATTTACTGTATATATTTTTCGGCTTTAATTACAGACAGAGCCAACTCGAGTGGGTCTTTCTGGCTCATTTGGATAGGCCGAGCCAACTCAAACGAATCAACCGAGGGCAAGGGTAAAGGGTGGGTCAAATTTTGCACAGCAGACTGAAAGCAGTCCAGTCGGTGAGTAAACTCGCCCGATTGATGGGCTTGTCATGCAAAGCCTACGCTAGGCCTCATTTGGCTAGGCCGAGCCAACCCAAATAGATCAAACGTGAGCCACTACTTTTTCAGGACTATAGATATGATGCACCAACAGGTTGAGGGTCTGTAACCCCAGATTATCTTGAAAATGATATCAAGATTCATAGTTATTTTTTGGTGATGTTGTCAACCATTGATATTATTATAAAAATATACAGTAGTTTTAAGACCAATATTTCTTCAGTATTTCATCACATACACAACCACCTCATATTACTCACCAACATAGAAGGATCTGCTGACAACGAAACATTAGCTTCTTCATGAGCAACGGCAAATTCTGGGCCAAAAAATTTCTGAAAAAAAATAATTAAAAATCTTATAATTAAGTTGGTTACAGAATGAGTTTCATTTCCCAATTTCTTAGCCACTGACAACTGAAACACTTATTCTACATATTTTAGTTTGGCACAGTAGCAAATTCGGAGTCGTACATCGTAAACAATGTAAACTCACCAGCAGTTTGACTGTAGAGTTTGATCTTCTAAGCGTTCCTACACTGGGGACAGATTCATCCTTACAGATAGTTAAACTACACCCCCTCTTAACTCGTACAAATTTTAACATATTTTTTTTAGTCCAAACGCATGCACTGAGAAACATACAAGCAGTGACAGACCGATTGCAAACTGAACCAACGTAAACATAAGGACATCAGGAAGTGTCCTCTTGCGTGCTTCAATCTTGTGAAATTAGCAATACATATCCTGATTCATATACATATAGTAACCGGAAACATATCTTCAGTTGAAACTGAAACTTTGAAAATGATATATCTGTTTTTCACTATCCCTCAAGTTATCAAAGATAACATACAAGGCCAAGAATTTGTTGTCCAGTACAGTAACAATTGGGAACTTTGTTCAATCAATCAGAATGCTTTATTTATAATCTATTTAACCTGTAGTTCTTGGCCTGATTCTGGGTTTATGGATACCTATAAAAAAAATAACGATATCCTTGCTGTTCAAGATATTGAACTAATAGAAAAATCATTTTTGCAATAAGCGATTAATTATGTAAGTTTTGTGTATAATAATTTGTGCTGCTGTATATGTAGATGCTTAATTGATAAGAAAATAATGCCATGATACAAAAGAAAATAACTTTAGACACAGAAGAATGATGCCCATCTTGAGTTATATATTATTCAGTGTATTATGTAAAGATAATGAAATTGTAATTTTTTAAATTATTATTTTGTTATGCTATGCTTCATAAATTAAATTAAACATACTATATTTATCCACATATACAACTTGTAATCTCTTCTACTCTTAAGATGTGCACTGACTGCGCACAATGGTTGTCAGCTGACGCCATTCTACAAAGAACGCAAAGCCACGACGTGCGCGCAACGGACCCTTTTTAATAACGATCTGTTCAAACTGCCACCAACAGACTAGCGCTCACAGGGTGGCGGAGTTGGATTCATCGTGGGACGGTCTTACGACAGAGTGAGCGCCCGACTTTAGTCTTGCCTAAAGCTCTGTCCACAGTATTAAGTTTTCTATGACAATGTGATTTTACCATATATGGCCATATCACATCCATATATGGGCAAACCACTGGTATTTGTCACAGAAAATAAAAACTCATCTAACTTTACCTTTAGTTTTCTCCTGGGATGTTTCTGTCTCTGATTGCCCACCTCTCCGTTTCTTCTACGGATAACATCCGGAGTCGGAGTGGGTACCGACAATTTTCCAGGCTGGCCATTTACATTGAGATTGTCGCTGTAATCAGGAAGGTTTTGATCACCAAAGTTACCATCTGTATGCAGAGTGGTGTTTGATGGGTAATATGGGAACTGGTCTGGATGATAGCTCCCTAGGTAAAAAAAACTCAAAGATGAACAAACATATTATATATATATATATATATATATATATATATATATATATATATATATATATATACATAAATCATCAAAGAAAGGTAAATACAGTGTTCGAATGTTCGAAGGACATAATAATACGAAAACAGTTATGGACTTTCAACTTGCTGTATCCAAGCTCCAAATGTAAATCCCAATAAACATAATTGAGAATGCTCAACTACAATTATATTTAATACAAAGTATTCAATTAAAACAAATTGAAGTATCAAGAATATCTCTTTATGTGGCATATAACATTATAGAAATACATAAAATGTAAATATATAGAAAAAAATGAATATATGTACTACTGTAATTTTTTCCAATATTGTAACTACTGGAGTTGAGGATCCCTGTAGAAAGTAATGCATTGCACAACGTAAAAGCAGATTATCATCAAATTATTTCCAATATCAATATAAAGCCACATTTTAGTTTTACTAATCTTTTTAGTTTTGCATAAAAAAATGTGGGCTATTAAACTATGCACATATTCACGACACAAATACTATACATATTCATTCCATACACTGTCGTGGGTAGGCTGGGTTATTTGTTTATTTGCATTAACCTTTGACAAACACATGTGAATATGTGAAAAAATTAAACAGCTAGTATAACCATGGACCTATGGATATGGTCTGTGGTGTAACTCACCTTCTTGTGTAGAGTGTCCAGATGCAATAGACTGAAATGATTTATATCTTTTTGTTCTTGTTTTCTTATAATTTCTTCCATCTTCAAAATCGCTTCCCGATGAATCACCACTTTGATAACTTGATGATGACTGAATCAAATCTGGGGGCATCCCCATACCACCTCTTAAAACACTCAGACGTTCTCGCCTCTCTCTTAATCTTTCATACGCCTGACTTGCCCTGGAATACCTGCTGTTGGCCCGTGAAGGTGGGGACTGAGATAATCTCTGAGACCTTTCCCGTGATCGACTCACGGTAGGTGACCTGTCACGAAAACGATTCCGAGATGGCAACTGGGAAGCGCTCGGAGTGAAAATATCGGACATGTGATACGATTGAGCACCGGTTTCATCGTAACTTTTAAAGGAATTTTTACTTTTGGAATATTTAGAATGTTTGTGATCCTCGTGCGAGTCGTAAGAATCAATTGTTGTTGTACTATCATTGACATAGCGACTGAACTGGCGGTTTTGAAGTGGCATACTCTTGGTTCGTGCATCATGTTTAGAATGTTCTGAGTGGTAGCTAGGACGTGATTGGGGACGTTTCATTGATAGCGGATCAAAAGCATTGGAATTCTGGATCTGATGCTTAGAAGTACCATTATAACCTATAATATAATTATTTAAAATAACAAAATTTAGCAACATATAAAGATAACACTTAAGAAGGGAGAAATAATTACATTCAGAAGAGAATTTTAAAAATGCTAATATGATACAGTCCATCTATTATTTCTACATATGTGTGTGATGCATGGCCATCATTACCTGATAATGAGAGAGGGCGCCCTGCTGGAACTGATATCTCTCTACTGGTATTTTCACCATCATGTGTATCATAATCAGACAAAGGACTGCTTAACTACAAAGAGATAAAACAAAACATTTTAATATCACTGCAGAATGACACTAATACTACAATTTTTTTTTCTGGTTTACATCACTGAAATCCAGTTTCTTTCCGACTATTTACCAAGCAATACTTTGTTTTAAAAAAAAGCAACCTAACTGAAAAACCCAAGGGTGTATACCACATGGCCTAATAGTTCAGTTTTGGTAGATTACTCAAATGGTGCTGGAAGGTTTTTCTGAATGTGGACAATATGTTTTTTCTCTTGAAAAAAAATAGTTCTTTTAAAACTGCAGTTTTGGTAAAATATTATATATAATGGTATTTTATTGAAAAATTCATAAAAGCATAAAACATTATAGCCAAAAATGCTGAATTACGAATTATGTTTAGCATCAATAACATCAAAAAGCATGAAACATATTAAACATAGTAGGAAATTTACATTAAAAGTGCAGAAAACTGTTTTAATAAAAAAAAAATTGAGAAAATTACGGAATTATAAATCATTACTATAGTAATTATTATTATTATCATTATATAATTGTATTTATTGCTTCAAAACCATTAAATAAATGAATTACGAATAACGTTCAACATCAATGACATCAAAAAGCATGAAACATATTAAACATAATAAGAAATTTACATTAAAATTACAAAAAAAAAATTATATTTAATAAAAAAAGAAAATTACAGAATTATAAATGATTACTATAGTAACCATTGTTATTATTATTATTATATAATTGAATTTATTGATTCAAAACCATTAAATTAAAGAATTAAGTATACTTGAATAATTATATGCTAGGGTGTTTCACTGTAACTTCAGTGCAATAAACTACTATTTGATGTATGCAACAGGCAATAATAATAACTTACATCTTGGATGTTGCCGAGCACCATCTTAGCAAGTCGAATGAGGTGATGTGTGTAGGGTACCTTGATTGGAAACTGTTGAGTGTGCAGTGTACAAGCCTGAATTGTGAAAGTGGGAGATAAAATTAAGCCATGAATATTGGTTGGTTTATTATTATCCATTCTTACAGCCTTGATGAGTGCACAATTAGGGACAGATTAAAATCAATAACATTTTAACATGTTACCATTAAATTTATCATTAGCTCTATTAACATTCATAATAAAGAAGTTTCCTTATTGATATAAATACTCTTGTAGTACCTCACTGCATTATCTATTGTGTATTATAGATGTTTTTTTTTATCCCATTTATATGGTCTCCTATTATAATTCCACTGTGTGGACAAAAGCTGGAAAATAAATTCTATACTACAAGGTAGTAGTCTTTGAAGTGCTCCTGTCATTTCTTCTATTAAACTACATATGCCAATCAAGTAATTCCAGTGTTCATTATCTCACCTCTAACACATGGATCAATCCTGACCTCCTTGCCGGATTCTCCTCGACCATGGAGAGCAGGAGGGAATGAAGGGAACGAGTCAATTTATTACTGTCTCTTGAGGGCGTTTTACCAAATTCAGCTGCCCAGAATATTGTCATACCAAGAGAGTACACATACATCTGTGGAAGCAATTTTTTAAACTTTACTAATATAGATATATATTACAATCTATAAAATACACATTCTAATTCCTTGCTTTATATACAATTCAACACAATACCTTATGAACAGGAAATACTACAAAATTGTCTTAAAAAGTTATGCAAAATAAAATACAACTTCTTTTATTACTATATTACATTATGTATAATAATATATATATTATTATATGGATTATCATTATTACCATACACTTATTAAATTATATAGAATCTGCATGAAACTTTTGGTATAGTAATTAATATTTTCTACCAAAACCAAACTAACTGTGATTTCATTTTGAATTTTTTTGTATAATTTGCATATTTCTACAAAATTCTTCAACCACTTTTAGAGACATACAAACCTTTTCAATAGCCACTTCAGAGAAGCTGACACTGTGGGCTAGGATCTCTGGAGGTAAGTATCCGCTAACGTCATACTGTGATGTGTTGACACTCTCAGCAAACCGAACCTGACCAGTTGGTTGCAGTAACAAGGTATGAGGACTGATGATGAATGAAGGGCCATTATCAGCAATGGCTTGACCTGTATAAAGATTAAAACTTAGTACTGAACATTTTCAGACAGTTACATAATAAATCAATTTTTCTATTTTTGCATCCTTAGCATCAGTTCGGAAGTTGTTTCAAAATATATGCCACCTTCATCCCTCTATAGTTGTATCACCAACACAACAGAGAAACCTGCAAGTACAGGCACTGATACAGTATTAATCAAAGTTCAATACTACAGTACTCAAAGCTGGCCACTCACTTCGCCTGTTGGTTGCAGGCCGACAAGATTATATTGAGAAGGCAACGGCACTATGCCATTCAGACTGTCACCATGAAACAGCAGACGCCTTTGCATCATCTAGCACTCACTGAATATGGAGCTGTATTGTCGGCCTACGGTTGTATGACCCAGCGAGTGCCCGGCTTTAAATGCACTTTCAAATAAACACCAAGGTACCTGTTTCCTTCGGAAAGATTTCTGAGGGAACGTTTTATCGAGCCGGACGTCTGGGCCCAAACTTTAGTTAACCCACCCACTGGTGCCATCCTTGCATTGTTGCATCCTTGGTGCCTTCCATCTAATAAGGTTTGCTTTAATTACCCTAAAGTGACCTAAGCCTACCTCTCAAAAATATATCCTGCATGGCCTCACTGCTATGGCACAGTAGAGCCCATAGTTCTTCCTCTGTTACACCATTTCCTTTCACCTCCAGTGCATCGTACAGTGACGCATGAATAAGAGATGCAACTGGCATCCTAAAAGCCTGCAAGATACACAATAATTTGTAAATTAGATTTTTATGCTAATAATCCAATCATATTTTGGCTTATAAACACGAAGATCTTAATACTTCTATTAGTATTAAAATAGAAAAAAATTATTTTTAGAATAAACTTTTACTTTACAGTTAGCACTATTAATAACCCTAATGACAACTATATTTTTACTGTAGTATATTCCATCTGATGTCACTAGAGTTTCACACACATAATACCATTATAATCGATGCAATGAATGTTAAGGCAGGTTCAGGCTGGGAGCAGGCTCATAGTATGGAAATCATGATGCGACGGATCATTTTTATAATGACAATCTACGATAACTGGTACAGTACTGAATTGGTTGACAGATAAATTAATAGTTGCCTACTGCATCCTTGTCTATGTGTTATAATAGCAATTAATTGTTGCAATTGATGGATTTCCGTTGGGTTGGCAGCATTGTCATCCTCATAAAATTTTTAAAAAAATAAACAAAATAAAACCCTGCCCAGACTATCAAATTTTATTTATGTGACATGCCTATATATGGTCATGATGACATCACATCATGACCATACAGCATGGACATCATGACTATATGGATAGACAACAGTTGTTTGTCAAAGAAAAATTTATAATTTGGACAGAGCTTTAAATACTTCACTCCTTGTTCTCTGTTATAAAATTTTACCTTGTACTTGTCTTCTGTTATTTTTATCAATTAAATGCAATGAAATAAAAAAATAACTTTCTTCAATAAATGCAAATAAAGTAAACAATAACATGAATCTTGGAACAGAATTCTATACAATAGTATAGTATTATATCTTTTGCTTTTGTAGAGTTAGACCTGCTAAATATCACCTTTTGATATTTAAGCTGCCTATTCAGGTATAATATGCAAAACATCTTAAATCCAATTAACTGTAGCCTGTCTAACAATAATGAAAGGCCTATAAATAATACACAATGAAAGAATATTGGGTTTATGTGGGAATTAACATATGATCAGGTAAACAACCAATCACAGCAAAAGATTTCAACTGTTATATTGCAATAAAATACTGTCAAAATATTTAATCAACATTTCATGCAATAGTGATACTAAAGTACCTGTTTTCTGTTTGCCTATCTTTAAACCTTGCAACATTTATTTTATTAGTATTTTTACATTTCATGGTGTTTATTCTGCATTTGAAAATACAGGTCTCCTTCTGATCAAAGACCCTCCAATTAAAGACCACCTCCAATTCACTTTTCTCTGTGAGTCCCAAATAAGCATTTCTTTTTACTCTAAACACCAAAAAGCTGCTAAATAAAGACCATGGAAAGCAGTATTTTTGGAAGGAGACCTACACTATAACAACAAAAAAAATTAATTTTATGAATATTTTTGTATGACAAGAGACAAAGTTGAACTTAATTTTTCCATTATCAACAGGTTGGTTTCTACAGACAACCAATATAATTAAGTTCATGATAAAATTTAGTCTAAATTTTAAATTGAATAGCGACAGACTATTGGCTGTCAGAAACACAGATTACAGGATATTAAGGATAGATGAAGAATCAGATAGTGAGCAAATAACCTTATCAAACATCTGAAAGGGTCGCTGACCAGCAGCGGCCAGAAACTGGATCACCGTCCTCATGTGAATGGCATGTCAATGCTGTACTGTACATTATGCAAGTATGTTCTTGTAAAATGTGTTTACAACTTCTCACAATTGAAAATTTTAATAATACTACTATCCTTTACAACAACACAAAAATAAGATGTTGCCTTACAGTAGGTTTCTTTCACTAGACCACAGCAGAATATTGCTCAATATTATAAAACAAAATATAAAATAGTAATTTAAAAATATCAAATAAAATTATTATTTTCTTCATATTCCTCTGGTCAAATAATATGTACAGTTTAGGTTTAATGCCATATTTTGATTTTAAAAGAGAAAGTGCATTGTAATATAATATGTAATATAATAATTATTTTAATACCATGGTATATTAAATTATTATACTCATTATCAATATTTATTATTATAATTAGCTATGATAATGTTGTGTCTGTTGTGTAGCCACCCTTGATAGTATGGGAAATGACCACTGTGTTAATAATACTGAGTCACAGATGATGCGGAATTCATACAGAAATAACAAAAGACACAAGAAAAAATCAATATCCATTCAACAATACAATCGCAGCTAAATACCAACCTCATAACCCCACACCCAATTTACACTCAAATGCACAGCAAACAGGCTCACAGTATGATATACTGTACAGACACAGCTGCAGAGCAAATATTGACACAAAATCCAATTAGCAGGCCTATATGTAGCAGGGATGCAATAAAATTTTTTTCAAACATGTACTTTAGGTTTGTATTTTAAACGTCAGAAAAGAGTTAGCCTAGAGTAGGAGAAAGAAGATGATTAGTATGAACAAGATAATATTCTCAATAGTTAAAATGTATAGTACACTTTAAAAAGTGGTAGTACTGTAGTTGATTTAATACTTTTTTAGAAACAGGCCAAGAATGACAAAAACAATCAAACTTCAACAAGACCAGACCCCAAGACTTTTGCTTACATGATGAATGACATACCAGTAGACCAGAAAGTCTTTAGTGGCAAACCAAACTGTTTTCCCAATTTTTAAAGCTTTTTCATGTTTTAAATTGCAACATCATACAGTCTAAGGCGGATTAAAAATGTTTATAAACGGAAATAGCTAGAGGTTGATATTTTCAAAATATATTATATATATAATATATATTATATTGTTTTATACCCTGCATTATGTTTCATGACTCGTTCATTTTACTTTCTTGGTGGTGTGTGACTTCAAATTTCCATACAGTACTGTATCTACAGTAATTAAGTTCTTATTCTTATTCTTTATTCACCAAAAACACAAAGTAAAATACAATGGTGGTATACACATAAAGAATACAAATGTGATAAATTGAATGAGTGGGCTGACAGGGACACAAATGCGAACATAATCACTAAGAAAAAGAACCTCACTCATTCAGTGTACTGTAACATATTAAACAATATATACATAAACATTATTTCAACTCAAAAATAAATGTATAGTAAGTACAAATTTCCATGTTTGATTAAATGATAATTTTTCCACAAGAACAAGGTATAAAATTTATAAAACATTTAATAATCAATACATTAAGTTAAAGAAATTCACAAAACATTTAAAATTTGCTACATTAATTTGAAAATCAATTATTATTAATAATATTTAATTATTATTCTTATTACTATATTTTATCAATTTATTTTTTAATTTTATTCTTTTTTATTTGTATAATGCTACTTTGGAAAATGGAATTCTTAAATTTTATTTTTTTTCAAAATTTTGTGCATTTTAATTAATAATAGCAGCCAATAGGTTGCATCTCGATATGAAAGGCTACGTTTTTTTAAATCTTGTGTTTGGTTTAGGAATATACAAATTGTAATTAAAAGTATTTGTTTTTAATATACAATAATAAAAACAATATCCTTGTCATTGCTTAGCCCTGATTTTTCAAGGATTAATCCTAGCCTACTATAATATATAAGGGCTAGGCGATAGGTAGGCCTATGATTCGGCCTATGTGTGTGTGTGTGTAGGCATAGGCCTAGGCTGCATAAGGCCTAGGCTTGCCCTATAAAATAGGCCTCAAATCAATATTATTCTTAATCTTTCTTTTTTAATATTTAAAATTAGGCAAATCACTAGACAACGCCAACAATGTCCCTTGCCTATAACATCCACAATGGTACCAATGAAACCACAAACATTGGTCCATGTTTATGTATTATGCAACCGTGTGTGTAGGTTACACTCTTAGGCCTAAAGTAGACATATTGACCAATCGTGAGGAGCAACCTCGTAAATGAATTTGAATTCGGCTTGGTTAAAAACAACTCAACAGCAGGACACAATGGGCCTAGCCTAGCTTGCCAGAGTCATTTAAAATGGTTACCTTTTTATTATTTCCTTGGATCAAAATACTCCTATTCAATAACTGAACGGTCTACATACATCCTCTTCATTACATGTAGTATATTTCCTTTTGACCATAGCCATCTAATTTTCCTAATATTACAAAATTTGTATTAAAACTCTTTCCTATCGGCTTACATTTTCGGGCTACCTGTCCTTGTTGTCATCCAAAGAGCGTTGATCACTAACATGGCTATACTATTACATTACGGGTTTTTGAATATATTATATTCAGAATACTTCAATATGAACAAACTTTTTGGTAATAAATATATTAATATTTGAATACTATAATATTTTTAGACAAAATATATAAAAGATATTTAAAATGCATGCTATAACAATATATTTAAAAGTCAATTTTATTTCTTCAACACCCCATTTACTAATAGACTATGCCAATAAAATATACAATTTTAAAGTGCTAGCGGTGACGTTGGACAATGTAGACACTCCAGTGTGAAGGCTCAAAAAGTTCGAACTGGTGTGGGAGAGGGAAGCCCGGCCAGCAAGGTGTGATGTTCATGTGGGGATAAGGTAGAGTTGGGTAAATAGTCCTAGACAATAAAGTGAGGATTTTGGCTGGCAACGTAGTTATTATTAGTTGTTATTTCACAACTTCAGCGTAATTTTTACTGAAAAGCAAATTTATGATGGGAGAAGTCCGTGAAGCAGGGGAGGAGAACCTGGGAACCCTGGGCAGGGGAGCCTTAAGTGGAAGGGGATCCTGGGAACTTTGATGGAAAATAGGCCTATATAGTCCAATTGTGACGTGCGTGTATCAAAAACCGCTCTGTTCAAAATTGGCGTTTCACGTGACCTTAGAGTTTTTACATTGTTTTGTATAAAAATTACATAACCTACAATAACATTTAAAATACAAATGATCACATAAAACGTCAAATAGAAATGTATTACTTTCACGTAAATTATTACATCAAATACACGCCTCCCTTATAAACGCATCCCTTTATATTTTTTTTTTCGAACAAACACCACTCCCTAACCCCAAATGACTGTAAACAAAAATAATGGAAGCAACATATTCTCAACACTTCAATTCATATTTTAATCCAGAAGAATTACATTTTTCTAACCTGGTTTGGATGAATAAGTTTTTTTGATCACGCAAGAGCACATTTTGACTAATATGTTGTAGTTCCACATTTACAGTGAAATTAAGTGGCGTGAATATACGTATATGCCTATCCTTTTTACAACCAAAATAAACTCCTTCCTCTAATAAACGCCCCTCAAAAACCCTTATATACGGTAATTAAATCACCTTTTACGTTCAGTGAAACCAATTAGGAGTGATTTGACAAGGGAAAAGGATGTGACGGTGAAGAATTTTTAAAAGACATCATCCTTGAAAACAAAGGGATGTAGAATCGACTGAAAACAAGCACAGGTTAACCATGCACTATTAAATATAGTGAAGGTGTTGTATTTTGCTCGCATTTTATACTTTCATACTATTTTCTGGCGGTATTTGGTTGGAGCACCTGTACGATAGTTGGGCTCAGACAGGCAGCATGCGCAGAACATCGTTCAAATCTTAATTGAGACATGTTTTCTAAATTTATAGGGCATGCATTAGATTCAATAGAAAATATTTTTGAAAATCCATGGTGCTCACGTAAGAAGAAAGTATGAGATAAATGAATGAAGTTCAAAATATTTAATCAAGATGGCTTGTATCACTCGGTAAATATAAATATCGGCTTTTAATTGGCCTATCCCCTTTTTTTCGGGAAAAGCGCTTGTTATACAACGGAAAATGAAGGTGCGGTACAAAAAGCGTTGCCATGACATTGCATTCTTCCTTGGAGTTGTTTCAAGCTGCTGTCTTTAAATTTAATTGGAATAAAAGCATACAAACAAAATACATTAAACACAAGCATGCCATTTTATTTCCTATGTTACTCGCTTGTCTTTCCAGGCCCGTTTCCAGGGCACCTAGACTAGTGATTCAAAAGGAACACCTTACTGATACCCTCCCTCTAGACCCCTCCAAAAAGACCATTTTCCTCTGGTCCCACATTAACAAATTAATGTCTATTATCTTTATTATTTTAATTAGAGAACAAAGTTGCTAAAGTCCACGGAAACCCCGGTCCCAAATTAATTGAAGGGAGAACTATTGAGGAACGCAATCTCACACTTTTCGGTAAGCAGATTCGCCTTTGAAGAGCGAGAATAGCCTAGCAACAGTGTTTCACGCTGACAATAGCTGTTTTTAGGTCATTTTTTGTCTTTCCACAGTCGTATATGGCAAATACTTGTCGGATTTTTGTATTCCCTTCTGCATTTGGAAGGCAATTCTGTTCTGATTGCTTTAGTATTTGTTTCCATTGTATTGCTTGAAAAAGGTCACCGGGCGTCATTTTTCTATTGGTGCTATGCTGACCGCCCACCGCGCGTAGAGGCTGCATTTTGACCTCTTTTTAGTGACTTCGTTTAAATTGCCATTTCGGCTGTTCACCAATCAAATATCTTGTTGTTCATTCCCGCCAGTAAACGGAAAGTTGAATATTCATAGATTCTTCTCATATAAAATATATACCGTACTCACGCGAATAAGCGCCCCGTTTGAATAAGCGCCCCTCATAAGATTTTATTTTTAGCAAGTCAATGTGACTGTGGTTGTTGGCATGATTTGAGCTGTAGATTTTCATCTATTGCCAAGCGCCCCCTGAATTTCCACTCTGTTTTCATAAGCGCCCCGTTTATAAAATAAGCGCCCCGTTTGAATAAGCGCCCCTCAAAAAGTGCAAAAAAAACAATTATTTTAAGCGCCCGGGCGCTTATTCGCGCGAGTACGGTCAATTGCAATTGGATGAAAAAAATCACCATCAAACCATCAATTTCAATATGAATGAACAATCCTGTCTAGGCATTATGCCCGAAAAAATGCGAAGCTTTGGTATAGCCTTCCGCTACCATTGTCAGAGGTCTAAAAGCCCTGGCCTTAAAAAAAAAAAAAAAAAAAAAAATACCTCCAGCGACTTCGTTGGCTTTAAATTGCCATTTCGGCTGTTCACCAATCAAATATCTTGTTGTTCATTCCCCAGTAAACGGAAAGCTGGATATTCATAGATTCTTCTTATATAAAATATATTTATTTATTTAAACAATATTTTGTGAGGGTGGTCCATCCACCCTGAGCTGATCAATTGGGACCCTCAGTACATACAATTAGAACATAAGTATAAAAATTAAACTTTAACATAAACAAATTAATTAAATTAAACCAGAATATGAATTCCCATTGGATGAAAAAAAAAAAAAATCACCATCAAAACATTAATTTCAATATGAATGAAAAATCCTGTCTAGGCATTATGCCCGCGAAAATGCGAAGCTTTGGTATAGGCTTCCGCCATTGTCAGAGGTCTGGAATCCACCATCAACTAAACTGCCTTAAAAAAAAAATAAAAAAATAAAAAAAATTGGTTCGTGTGGGAATCGAACACACAACCTCCATGTTTGCTATTCATTATTCACCATCAAATAAACTGCCTTAAAAAAAACAAAAAAAAAACCAAATTGGTTCGTGTGGGAATCGAACACACACCCTCCAGGTCTGCTATTTATTATCCACCATCAACTAAACTGCCTTAAAAAAAAAAAAAAAAAAAAAAACTGGCTCGTGTTGGAATCGAACCCAGGACCTTCAAAAAAAATAAATAAAAAAATTTTTAAAAAACTTGCCCCGTGTGGGAATCGAACCCACGATCGCCGAGTTTACTACTCCTGACCCAGCATGACTAAACGGAGGGAGGTAAACCGCGGCCCCTAAGCCATAAATGCGATAAACCTAGTACCACACCAAGTACCAGTTAGTCAACTCTGATACTACTAGAAAAAATTCTTCGTATATATACACTGCAGGTTAATATTACGCATGGTCATGGTGTCAAAAATGGGTCGTGGGTCAAGAGGGTTTATTTTTTTGTCTAAAAATGTAGAATTAAATTTATAATCGATTTTTGATTGTTACATCTCAATAACTTACGCACTTTTTTTTAAATAGACATGTTTTGTTACTTTTTCGCCAGTGACGTCATGGTAAAATCGTATATAATCGCCTATAACATCATAAAAAATAGCCAAAAAAAATGTTAAGGTTGATTCTATTATTAATGGCATATTAAAAATCCACTCTAGAACAAAAAATCATTTTGCTTGTTCTCTTTTAAGAACAGGAACCTCTGGATTGCCAGAAATGACACTCTGAGACTGTGACAGCTTGGCGTGTGTTGGCTTGGTGTGGGCCTATTTTTATATTTTTTTT